TAAGACCAGTCAGTGGTAACTACTTATGCTATAAAATATATATGTATTGCACATTACTTATTATTTGTATTATTTATATAGATAACTCTTCTAGGTAAACCATATTATTACATTATATGGATTACCTAGATTACCATGCTTCGGCACGATTGGGTCGGCTCGACCGGAGTGATATCACGGCCTCACAGAAAACCGGTATGAAACAACTGTAGCGTTGTGCTTCACAGTGTGAGTTAGGTTATTGGAAGCCCAATCCCTAAGTATCCTATACCCTAATCCGCAAAAGGTCAGCAAATAGCTCCTCTGTTGTTGCGCATGTCCATGGGTGGCGCTGATTGCTTACCATCAGGTACCTAAACAATATGTATGCTCGTTTGCCATCTTATACAGAAAAAAATAATAATATTTATTTGTATACCACATCACTTACCTTTTAAAAAATAAATATCCTCAAAAGATCAAATACCACGACAATTATCGAATCACAAGAAAAACACAACTGTTTTTTTCGACGTTCACTCAGCGTCTCTTACGATACAAAACTAATTTCATTCAATACACACTTAGGTACAATAAATGAAATAAAAATCGATATATAGAATCGAGTCGCACGTACTCGTCTAACAATCGATTGTAATGTGGTTAGGGCGAGTTCAGATGACACGCAGCGAATAGGCGCAGAAGCCGCACACGCGACAAATCTGGACAGGTTTTAGAAAACCGGCGTAAAAAAACTCTTTTGTTACGTAACGGTGTGTAAATGAAGTCGATACTAGTGTCACATCTTCTATCGCCCCCATCCCTGATCCCCAAAATCGTCAATCTCCAAATCCTTAAAAGGGCGGCGATACACTTGCAACTAGAAGTTGTAACTTCTGTTACATCCCATTATGTATTAATTTCTACCCCATCCCCAAAAGTACTGTTTCAAATTGAATAAATATTTTTGTCATAAATAGTTCACTTACAAAAGAAAACCCTGGTGTTCTACGACACTGCGGTAGTAGCAGATATAGCTCACTAAAATCATATAAAAACATGTAAGTATGGATAGATGTTTGTTACTCATTCACGCAAAAACTACTGAACGGATCCGTATAAAATTTAGCACAGGGATAAAATATAGTCTGGAATAACACAAACGCTACTTTTCACTCTGATAATGTGGGCAAAACCGCTGAAAGAAACAAGTTAAAACCAACTACGCGACAAACACATCGAGTTAGACGCGCGAACCGTACGCGTGTCATCTACACGCGCCCTTACTTTTACATTCCGTCCCAAATGTTTTGAAACAAAATGATATTTTAGTTACACACGTATCATACGTGTCTAACATCTACAATTTGTAAGACACGTACTTATTGTATCAGATTGTACACGATATTTATTAATGAAACTAGCAGGTCCTTTCCTGTCTCGCACGAGTGGCTATAGCCTTGCTATTTTCAAATTTTCCTTCATAAGAACCGGCTCATGGAATTAATGAATACAACAAAATAAGAATTGGCAAAAATGGTCCAGGCGTTGTTGAGTTCCGCGCATATTTGTGAGGGAAAATCATTAAATGACTTCTCCCATCCAGGGTAGGGCGGGAGGGAGTGTCAGACACTTATTGACTAAAAACCCTCCTTTCCTATTCCTGCTCTAGGCCGAGGTCGCGGTGCCTCATTGGGCTTACCCCGCAACCCCGGCTATTCATCCAGACACACACATCGAAGGCTCCGAGCTTATGGCCCGTCGCGGTTCGCGCGCCTTAGAGATCCGTCAGACCATCATAGATGAGCCCACAGGACAGATGTCCAGGGTTGCTAATACAGCGCTTAGCGTTCCGCGCCTGCCTCAAAGAGCCAATAGACCACCACAGACGGAGCCCTATAGGGCTGATGTTCAGCTGGGGTTACGGGGTAAGCGCAATGAGTCACCGCGGCCTCGGCCCAGAGCAGGAGAAGGAGCTGGGGGGTTTTTAGTCAGTAAGAGTCTGACACTCTCCCTCGCCTTCCCTGGACGGGAATGGTCATTTGATGATTTTCTCCTGACAAAAAAAGGGTTGCAAGTACAAGCTCAATTATGTACCGCGGCCCCGGTCCTGAGCAGGAGAAGGAACGGATTGGTTTTTAGTCAGCACCCATGGTGATTTTCCTTCAGCCAGGTTTGCGGGGTAAGCGCAATGAGGCACCGCGACCTCGGCCTAGAGCAGGAGAAGGAACGGGGGGGTTTTTAGTCAGTAAGAGTCTGACACTACCTCCCGCCCGGCCCTGGGCGGGAGAAGTCATTGGGTGATTTTCCCCTGACAAAAAAAGGGTGACTTTCCTCCATCAAAAAAGGTAGAATACTATATGATTTTACCACCCCTATATATAGATTCCCGGGGATGTCGTATACACTGTCTAAAGCCAGAAATAAATTATCGTGGCAAAGCGTATCGCGTCAGAGTCGCCTAAAGTTTATTTTTATTCTTCAGGGGGAAAGGCTGTCAAATTTTAATGTCTTCTCCAGCCAGGTTGGGGAGAGAGGGAGTGTCAAACTCTTACTTAGTAAAACCACATCCTTCCTTCTCCTGGTTTGGTCCACCGATATGATCTTTCTTTTTCTTCATTTAAGAAAAACGTTGTGCACTCTTTTTATGTGTTGTGGGTGCGTTTAGAAATAAACAAATTTACAGACACGGACCACCCAGACACGAAACAACAATTTGTGGAACACATCACAGTTAATGTCCATCTGTGATGTTATAAAGGCTCCATGAGACACGCCGCCCGCTTGAGTCTAAATGGTTAGAGACAAGGCAAAAACTCAAATCTAAACCACAAAACTGCTATTGTAATAATATTCTTGCAAATTTGTGGTAAAGATGTCGCCACGTGTATAATAATGACAAATTCATGGTTGCAGTTTCAGTGGTTCTCAAACTTTGTTTAGTAATGAGCCTTTTACAGTAGGGAATTTTAGACGGAACCCCAAACTATAAGAAAACGTTGCGTGCATTCAATGCATGCATACATTAATGTTGACGTGGTGGTTTCTTTCGGCAACCGTCTGTTGTGCAATGGGTCGCGGGTTCAATTCCCGCTTGCCACAACACTTTGTGATGCACAAAATGTTGTTTCGGGTCTGTGTGGTTTGTGTGTGTGAATTTGTAGGAGGATTTTTTTTTTATGAAAACAAAAAAGGATCGTTGTCTTGGCCTGGATCTGTAGATAACGATGTGGTTTTAAAAGATTGACACTCCCTATCGCCTCAATTCTCGGTGAGAGGGAGTGGAATGTGATAGTTTTTCCCTCAAAGCGGTTTATATTACATAAACCGCTGGAAATTTATGGAACCGATACGAATCTGGCACGACACGCCACGTTACAGCTACGACATCCCGGTTAAAATATAGTAGAGATGGTTTTTTTTGTGAGGGAAAATCATCAATTGACTTCTCCCGCCCAGGGACGAGCGGGAGGGAGTGTCAGACTCTTACTAATAAAAACCCCCCGTTCCTTCTCCTGCTCTAGGCCGAGGTCGCGGTGCCTCATTAAGCTTACCCCGCAACCCTGGCTGAACAACAGCCCTATAGGGCCCCGTCTGTGGTGGTCTATTGGCTTTTTGAGGAGCGCGTGGAACGCTACGCTAGGGATGGTACATCATAATAATATGTCTACCCTTTTTAGAGGAGGTAATATCAACATTGTGACTTCTCCCTATCCAGGTTGGACGAGATGAAATTATAGACTCCTGCTTCGGACCGGGACCACAACATGTATTTTGAATATATTTTCATATTTATGACACATCTTCATACACTTTTATAAAAAAGAAATCATAAAAAACTAGCTAGGTACTCTCGTGCGGTTTCACCCGCTGCTCGGATCCATTTGATCGTAGCGTGATGTTTTATAAACTATATCACTCAGAAACATTGTAGCTATCTATCAGAGAAAGAATTTTGGGTATCCGACTAGCGTTTGCAAAGATTACCCCTACATACAAACTTACAAATTTTACCTCTTTATAATATTAGTATAGATAAACACAAGTGTAGATAAAGTCTACCTTGTAAGTCCAGACACCGCAACCCCGTAAGCATATCTACCGCATTTGTACATATCTATGCATAAGTAAAAAAAAAACATCACGATAATATAAGTATTATGTTTATTAACATAACAGTATTTTATTTCACAAGTTTCAACATTATAGTTTACAAAATTACAAATTACATAATTAATACTATTTTTTTAAACGGCATTTATTTTTCATTCTTTCTATACATTTTTACACTTAACTAGATGTCTAGTCTCAGCTAAATCCCTTGAAAACGAAGGTGCCACAATCACCTACAAGAAGCAATTGTGACATCGGGAGTTTTTGAAAATATGCCTCAGAGTGACGTCATCATGTCATATAGGGCCAGTTTCTGAAAGGCTTGTAAATAAATAATCAACTGACATAAATATATCAGTTGCATAGTATCCAAATCAAACGGCACTACATCCACACCAAATGGCAAGGCAAAAGTTTTTACAGCCCTGTAGAGTTTATCAGTTTTTCAGAAACTGGGTTTTGTTCTTTTTCAAATAAAGAGGATTTCGTAATTTATTTTCTGTTTACAGTTTAAAACTTTGATATTTTCTACAATATTTCACAAGAACAAGTTACAAAAAAAAGATTAACTACATTTATTATAATAATTTTATTTTTTTGGCAATAAATAGACTGTTGATGAACTATGTTTTCGTTAGGCCTACGAAATTTTCCAATGGCTAAATCTAATTGATTTCAAACCTTATTGTTCAAGAATAAAAATGAAAATCGACATAATTCGTCTGAAGTGTGTAGGTAGTCTTTTTTCTGCGTATTGCATTGCAATACGCAGAAAAAAGCAATGCAATCACAGCAATCTAAAAAGATTTTAAAGAAAATATATTATATGTATAAAAGTCTCAGTGAGCACATCGTAAGTGACAGTAGGTGTCAGGAACAAAAGTACCTCAATATAATTACCCCTATCTTTAAGATGCGGCTTTCTTCGCTTCTTTCTTGTAAAAATCTTCTCTGTAAAAGTTAATCCTTTCATAATTCGCGCGTTCCACTTTCAGGGGTCCGTATTCGAGGAAGAAGTCGACGTACCTTTGAAATTCCTGTAATTCGTTTTTGGAAATAATTTTCAGTTGCAATCTAAAATCTAAACCCCTAAGATTTGTCTCTATCAATGATACAGGGTGACACTGCAGCAAAACGATTCGAGAAAATGATGGTACGGTCATGCCCGTTTTGCTCAAAACTTGGCTCAAGCACTTTCGGGTCTCCAAATAAGGCAGTAGTTTTTTTTCTTTTGTAGCAGGCAAATCATTGAATGTCTTCTCTTCCCTAGGGAGAGAGAGTGTCAGACTTTTATTGACTAAATACCACCCCGTTCTTTTTGCTGCTCAGGGCCGGAGGTTCGGTAAATTATTGTCCTTGCAACCCTAGATTTGAAGGGTTGAAGATTTTTTTACATGGCGAAACCCAACTCTCGCTTTGTTTGACGCCGGTTTTCTGTGAGACCGTGGTATCACCTAATTCGTGCCGAAGCACGGCTTTCTCACAATAGGGATGATGAATAAAAAATAACAATTAGTCCATCTTTTAGAACGCCAGAAAATAGTAGATACGTATTTTTTTCTTTTGCTTCTAAAACTTAAAATAACAAAGTTACAGAGCGGCGAAAGTTCGCGCTACGTCATATTTCGTAAAGTTTTTACGAAAGAGTGACGTCACGAGCCCCTACTCCTGAATTTATATGCGCTGTATCTTTGTCAATATTATTCGTATGGACATAAAAAAATACGTATCGAGTATTTTTCTATAATCTAACTCTGACGGACTAATTAGAATCTTGTTGTTTTAACCCAGGAGACATCCCTATTAAAATGATTGATTATGTTTCTGATGTGAGTACGTAGAGAAAGAGAAATATTCACCTCAGCATCCATGGGTTCCAAGTCTTTGGACATCAACGCCTCCAATATTTCTCCTGGTGACAGTTGTTTTACATTTAATCTGAAAAAGAAAACGCAATTTTCCAATAGTTTCTCCCTTCTGGTTTTAAATAGCATAAACTTTGTACGAAGAAAATGTCAAAAAGTAATTTATATCTGTTTGGTCATCTCAGTATGACTAACAACCCGGTTGGTTGGAACTATGCACATGGTGGTTGAAAGGTTTAGGAATGGAAGAGTAACAAAAGGTAGGCCAAATAGACCGGGATATTACCACAGCCTCACAGAGAACTGATGTGAAAGCCAGTAAGGAGTTGTGTTTCACTGCATGAGTGAAGTCCCCGGAGGCCCAATACAAAAATCTCTAATCCTCAAAAGGCCCACAACACACCTGCAGCTCTGGTGTCCACGGGCAGCACTAATTGATTACCATACAAACATCTATTTAACTTTGACATTTATCACAAAGCACTAAAGCTTATATTGACCTGACAATTCTTTCTGGAGTCATAACTTCATCGAACGCTTTGATGACATCTCCAAAACTGTACCCTCGTAGCAACCACGCCATCGTTTGTACAGGATAATCTCTCGGTATGCTCCTTATCCTGTAAGGAATAAGGTGTAATTTTGCTTCATCATCATCAACTATTATAAGTGGCCACTGCTGAACAAAGGCCTCTGCTCATATGGAGAAGGTTTAAGCATTAATCACCACGCTTGCGAAGGCGGATTAGCGATTTCAAACTTATAATTAGAAATTATAGGTCCAGGTTTCCTCACGATCTAAATAATTTCTGATTGCTGAACTAATAATGATGATGATGATGATGATGATGATGATGATGGTGATAATAAATGATGAAAACTTACCTCATTAGTTTAGCGTACAAAAATTGTTGTAAAGACCCATAGTCTGTTCTCGGAACGATCAAAATCTCTTCAAAAATATTAACCATCGGTTTAGCTTTGGCCATCCAAGGGTTAGTACAGGTTGCTGGAAAAACACCACCTCAATGAAAAACTATGCTTTATTGATCATCATAATGCTACGCCAGACTCCGTGGTCTAACCAAAAAATCTTCAAAAAGGCGAAGGTTGGTTGGGGCAATCTGCAGCTCCGCACCAAAGCAGAAGAAGTCAGGTTTTAAATCAGTAAGAGTCTGGTACTCCCTCTCACCTTACTCAGGGTGGAAGAAGTCGTAAGATGATAAGATGATCTGAAGGCAGAACGAGGAAAGATTGGAACTGATAGTCGGTATAATAAAATCTTACCAATAAAGATGACTTTATCATCGGGTGATATCTGTTTAATTTGTTTCGATAAAGCCGCTTTTAGGGTTTGAGCTTGAAGATGTTTATCTTCTGGAGGCACCTGGAATGAAACGATGAATTAAAACTCAAAGAGCTTCACAAACGGCATTTGTTCCTTTTGAATAAAATCAAAGTCAAAGTCAAAATCATTTATTGTAACGTCAAATTAGAACAATAGTCTGTCAGTCTGGTCGTCAGTGAAGCTCTAGTTATTCGATTTTTAGAACGTAAGCACCTCGTTCTCAACTTAATAAAAAGATGACAAAATAGCTTCTTTTCTTTTTTATTATTGTACATATCTTTGCTCAGCATTTCCGGTACCAAATAAATTATTTTTCCTTCTTTTATTCTTCTTCACTCCCTATACCAGCAAACAAAAAAAGGCAGGTGTTCTACCAAAAATTTCAAAGGTATTTAATTTTGTACCTTTATAGCGAAAACTCTTTCAATATTTTTCATGAATATTACAGCCGGTTGAAAAGCCCTTGCAGTTATGAAAACTTGGTTTAATACTTTCAAAGGTTTACTGGTTACAGCTGTGAAAACTTCAGGAGTTATGTCGATTTTGATGGCATCTGTAATGGAAAAACATGTTCTGGAACACTTTGTTTAGTAATACTTTGCCCTTACTACAATTTTATTCAGTGTTGGTGTCGCACATATTATTTATTTTAACTAGCTGACCGTTGTTGTTGTTTTGCCAGATTTTTTTTTATCACTTAAGGGTACGAAAAATTGGCAGTAGCCCATTCTCAGACCTACTGAAAACGCATATAAAATTTGGTGAACATCAGTGAAGCCGTTTTGGAGGAGTAAGATAACTAATTTTGTGACACGAAACTGATATTAATGATAATAAGAGATACAGAACACGTCTAACTTAGATCAGATCCAACAATACGTGAATCACAAAAAAATCGGAGTATCATTAAACCAGTGACACATTGCACATCCACCAGCTTTTATTAGAGACAATAAATGATCTATTAAAAAAGTTGATTTATCTTTTTAGAAAACCACCCAAAAGAACTTACTCAATTCCCCAGCCACAGCATCAGCCAGGAACTGCTTTCCATTCCTATCGGGACCTAACAACATCACAGATTTTCTCCTAGTAGCTCCAGGTTGGATCCCACATCCCAAAACACAGGACAATCTTAATCGCTCCTTGATGTCACCATAAGCTGGATAGGGAAACCTGAAATGTGTTGGCGTATCATAATCCAGGTAACGCAGTAGGCGACACTTCGACTTTCGATCGATCGAGCGACGATCCGGCCGGCCTCTGTAAGCGCGTGTTAGTGGTCTACGAGTAAGGGTAGCTAGCTACTCGACCACGACCAGACCTAAGTGTACCACGCGTAGCGTTCCGCGCGCCTTAGAGAGCCAATCGAGTATCACAGATAGGGCCGAACATCGCCAATTCTTAGCCGGGGTCACGTGTCAAGCGCAATACGGTACCATGGCCTCGGCCTGTAGCAGGAGAAGGGACGGGGGGTTTGTAGTTAGTAAGAGTCTGACATTCCCTCTCGCCATCCCCTGGGCTAGAAAAGACATTTGATGATTTTCCCAACATAAAAAAGGCATATTATACTTCCCACCGGTGTCATCTCCAGAATTGGTGGAAGTACTAAGAACGGAGATCACGCTGCAGCAACCGATTACCATCAAAGAAATAAATACCGTTTTGGAAACCAGTACGAAACTTCGGTTTCCTATGCAACAAAAGCAGTTTATGGGCCTGCCATAAGTTCCTCCATTTGTCTCAATCTTGGTAGGCTTGGACTGGATATGACAATTTAGAAAGTCCAGGTTTATCAGAGAGCGTAAATACCTGACCTTTCAAATTTATAATCCCTAATGGAGCCTTGACAAATCGCACAGAAAGAGGGTCACGACAAAATTGTTCGGATTCGCCACCGACAGTAGACTGATACTTCGTTCCAAATTTTGAAGAAAATTGCTGATAAAATTGTACTTACGTAGCATTAGGATCTCTAATATTATAGGCATAAGCTGCATAATTCAAATCGCCGTACACATCACTGAGTTTCGTAGTTGGTTTCGTGACAATATTCAGGTCAAAAACTGGCTGAGAAAAGTTAAAAAAACCTTAATTGATTTTATACTCTAAAGCAAATTGACAAGGCTGAAATTCATAGGTTTAGCAATTACCGCGGTATTTTTCATCAACTTTTTGTCATAAATGACGGGCTTTGGTACCGGTGGTACCTTGGGCTTCCTTCTAGGTGTCATTTTAGGAAACTTCATACCCATTGACTTGAAATCTGCCTGGTGTTTCTGTATTAGCAGTTTTAGATCTAACCTGCAAAGGAAGAGAAAGAGAACATTTCATTATTAGTACCTTGAATACCTTGAGTCTGGTAAAGAGATGGCGTCAAAAAAACACTAGTCGAAATTTTGAAATCATAAAAACCCCTTCGTCAGCCCTTAATTCCTTTTCAAAATGATCTTGAAGGAGGCCACGCATAAAAAATCATTGATTTGTTGATAAAATACGGACACGGTAAGTACAAATGCCTAAACAAAATAGAGTTACAAGAAACAAGTCCATTTTAAAAACAGCGACAAAGCCACAGAGCTACAGACAGGCAGGCAAGTCAAAAAACATCCCGTTGTTTGCGTGGGTGATAAATCCGAAATCAAAACGAACGATAAAGTCAAACCAATACAATTAGACCACCATAAGAAACATTTGAACGTCAAATAAAATAAAAAGTGTCAGTCTGAAGGTCAGACCTCAAGTGAAGCCATCTGCTCGTTCCAAAGTATAATAATAATAATAATATTTATTTATTGCCATAAAACACGGTATAACAAGGTTTTACAAAAAAGTATGAAAGTCCAGCATGTTTTGCTAATTATATATAGCATGCAAAATTAAACAATATAAGATAGCGGGCAGATCACAGTCGATACCGAGAATACAGTTTCCTTTGCATGAAGTCATGTATGGAATAAAAATTATGTTCATTAAGCCATTTATACAATTTATTTTTAAATGTATTGAGATCAAGATATTTTAGATCATTTGGTATATTGTTATAAATTCGAATACACATAGCTAAACAGTTCTTATTATACTTTGCTGATTTAGGAATGTCACTTAGTACAAGTCTAAAGGGATCTCTGCGATTTCGAGAATAGACATCGTTTGCACTTTTAAATAAATGTCTATTTTTTGCTACAAAAATACAAACTTCATAGATGTAAAGCGACGGTAATGGTAACAAACCAAGTTTTTTAAATATTGGCTGGCAAGACTGATCAGGTTGCAGACCATACATCGCCCTTATGCACTTTTTTTGTGCGATAAATACCTTATCCCTGTCTGTGCTATATCCCCATATTATCAGACCATAACGGAGTATTGATTCTACGTGCGCGTGGTAGGTCATAATTGCCGTGTTAAGGCTTGTAATGCGCTTTATTTGTTTAAGTGCGTACACAAATTTATTTATCCTCATAGATACATTTTCTACATGCTTCTTCCAATTGATATTTTCGTCCATAACTAAGCCTAGAAATTTTGTGTCAGTTGTCCTATTAATTTTTGGTATATTAAGATTAATGTCATATTTGGAATTATAAGATTTGTTGAATTGTATGTATACTGACTTGTCTAAATTTATTTTTAATTCATTTTTATTTAGCCAATCTATAAGTTTATCTATTGTGTTGTTTATGTCAAGTTCGTGGTCTTTGGTTGTGTTTCTGTTTTTATTTGTTGTAACTATAATTGATATATCATCAGCAAAGAGTACACACTTATGGTTGGTAATATTTACGATGTCGTTTATATATAAAAGGAATAAAATCGGTCCCAACACGCTACCCTGTGGCACGCCACGCTTGATGTATTCGTATTCTGACGTTGATGGTGTAAGAATCCTGTTTCTATCAATTTTTGAAATGACTACACATTGTTTTCTGTCATTCAGGTATGATGATATCCATTGATAAGCAGGGCCTTCTTATTCCACACTTTTCGATTTTATTTAGTAGTATCTCATGTGAAACGAGATCAAACGCTTTTGACAGATCAAAAAACAGTCCAGTGGTAAGGTGATTATTGTTAAGGTTTGTCAAGATTGTGTTTATTGTAGTATAAATAGCTAAAGTAGTTGATTTTTGTTTTTGGAACCCGTATTGCTCTTTTTGGATGATATTGTATTTGTCACAGAAATTAACTAACCGTTTGTACATACATTTTTCGTATACTTTAGATAGTATTGGTATTAGGGTTATGGGGCGATAATTGTTAACGTTGTTTCTCTCACCTTTTTTATATAATGGTTTAACTACTGATAGTTTAAGTGCATCTGGAAAAACAGCTTGGGCGAATGATAGATTTATCAAGTGCGTAAGAATGCCTACCAATACGTCCTTGCACGACTTTATTAGTTTTGTACCTAGTTCGTCATATCCGGTTGCATTCGTATTCCTCAGAGACATTATTTCTTGCCGAACCTCATGCGGTAGCATTGGTTTAAGGAATACTGAATTAGATGAGGTTTTTATGTGGTTGTTGTTATTTGTGTACTTGTTTGTTGATTCATGCTCTATGTTTATGTAATGATTGTTGAATGATGTAGCAATTTCTTTAGGTTTTGTAATAATTTTATTTTTTATTTTTATGTTATCTATGTTGTGTTTAGTTTTATTATGAATTTCATTATTAATAATTGTCCAAGTAGCTTTGCACTTGTTATCATTTTCATTAATAAATTTAATATTTGCATTTTTTTTAGAATAGTTAATACATTTTTGTAGAATTTTAGTGTAGGTTAGATATTTATTTTTAGTGAATGTACTTTTGGTTTCATAATATTTAAATCGCAATCTTCGTTTCGTTGTACAGCTTCGCTTTAATCCCTTACTTATCCAATTTTGCTTTCTTTTATCACATATATTAATTTTAACTTTGTTTTCTGGAAAACATAGTTTATGAAATAGACACAATAACTCATGAAATTGGTTGAATGCTTTATTTGAGTCATTTTCAGCGTATATTTCCGACCGAAGTATAGATTCCTACGAAGAAGAACGAACAAGCAAGAAACTCCATGGTTATACTTTTTCAATCAGTTTCCCAATCAAATTCTTAGTTACATTATAAAAAAATATTTACCTCATCATTTCGTCGACAAACTTCCTGCACTCCAGATGCAAATTCATCATCAACTCCTCAGTGAGTAATGGCTTCATGTACCCATAAATTGTTTCTCCAAACCTTTCTTTTGGCATCTCGTCGAAAAGTGACCATGCTGCCCTGTAGCCTTTAAGAGCCTGAAGAACAGGATTAAGAGTATAAGAAATACACAGGGCTAGCCCACCCAAACACGGGCGGTACGGGCCCCAAATTCAAAGCTAGAGCTCTAAATGGCTTAAAATTAACAAACTTTGCCATCCGGTGTCTAGGAGTCAGTAGTCCGTAGTCAGTACAGCGCCAGGTCTTCAAGACACGAAATAAAACAAAATATTTGTACAGGGGATGAAAACGAATTCGAGTGCACTCATATTTAGAAATTCTAAGTTCAGCCTGCTAGCCAAGGTCAATATCGATAATCGTTATTGGTGAGGGAGTTCACTTGTTGACCACGACACTTCTGAAATTTCCATACACTTGTTACGTTTCTAAAGCGATGACGATTATACGCTAATGAACTTTGCGAGGAGGCAAAACCCCCATGATGTTAGAGACTGCTCAATTTTAAGTTAAAGCAATGTTTAAAATTAAATAATCTTAGAAGGTATGTGGTCTTAAAAATAGTCACATTAACGGCACACCCATTGGACCATAACGACACCTCTGAAACTCACATTTATCTTTTTAATTAGGTAGCATAGTAGGATTAGAAGTAGAAATAGTAATAGTAATCATACTTACCTCATGAATTAACTGTACTGCAGCAGATTCTTCTATCTTATAACCAGGGTCAGAGAAGGGGTTGGATCTGGCTTTCATTAATGCTTCTTCTTGTTTTCTTTTTTCTACTTTTGCAGCTTTGGCTTTCATTTTCTGTTCGGCTTTTAATTTAGCACGTTCTTCTTTCATCTTTTATAAAGCAGAATTAATATTATGATGCAAAGCTAACACGAGTAAGTGTCACTGTTGCATGATATAACGTTAATGTAAAAGAAACTCATCCGCATGAATAGAGCTAGAAGAAAGAAGAAGCCTAGCACAAGCTAGACTTCACAGTAAACTGGTGAGCAATAATGCTTGCATTGTTTTACATATAATAGTGTGAGTTACCAGAGGCCCAATCCTCGCAATACTATTAATCCCCAAATTTCCAAATCCCAAAAAGTCCGCAAAGACCGAAAACGCAATAACACATCTTTGATGTTATAGATGGTCTATGGGTACGATTACTTACCATTAGGTGGTGGTGCAACCCATTCCATAAAATAACTCAGTAAGCGGATGAAGCAACAATTCTATATCATACGATAATACCTGTTCTTTAGTTTTCCCTTTAGTTTCGTTTAACAATTTTTCATCTTGTTCTTGTTTTTCTTCTACAGACGGAAAATCTCCTCTGACAACCAATATTGTGCCTCCTTCGGTTTCATAGGGGAATTCAGGAAAAAAACCGTAACCATAAAACCTGAAATATTAATACGTGGCCAGTAGGTCGACCTTAAAAGTCAATTTTAAAGTTTATAGTTATTCTTAAAATGTAGTATTTAGTTATCCCAATCTTTCACCTCCCCTAACCTCTTTCTCCTAACTCCAAATCTCTAATCTTCAAAAGGTCGGCAATCTGTTACCATCAAGTTATCTGGGATGATCCATGATCGTTTGCCGTCCTATTCCATAAAAAATAGTTGGTAGGTGCTTGTAAGTGTGAGGGGTTATATTTTTTTATGACGAGGGAAATCATGTTTCACGATTATTTCCCTCGCCCGTGTATGCTCGGGTCTGGTTCTGGTCAATAGATCCTACCATTCCTCGAACCAGTTCCTGATCTCATCAGTAATATCGTCTATATGGTTTCCTTTCTTGAACATTATTATCCGTGTGTTTTCTGTCTCTAATTCTTTAAGGTAGTTCTTCTGTATTTTAAGCCTTGTCTTCTTTCTTCTTTCGTATACCTGTGAAATGAAATAATATCGCCAATATTTTGCCATCAAACTGTAATCTTATTTTCAGACTTAACTATAGTTTATTCACTAGTGACATACAACACTGTTTGCTCGGCCCGTAAAAGTGAGAAATTCTTGCAATAGATCAAAAGTAAATAATAATAGAACCTGGTAGTTCAGTCTATGTGAATTTAAAAATTGTAATATTCAGACGAGTATGAGAATATTAAAACATTCAACACTTTTCCACCACGAGGGCAGCTTTTGTTTAGCAGAAAATTTCTTCTGACTGGTGATAGTGAAGAATTTTCCAGTGCCCTCATCTGGTCGAAAAAGCCCAGCGAATAGGAGTTAGGTACCTTATTATTTTCCTCGTGGTAATGTAGGGTAGTTCTGAAAGTATCTGGTATCAGACCAAGCAGGATGTCTCTCTTAACCTCCTTTAATTTTTCACGTTTCAGTTTCATGTAAAGCCTGAAAGCAGGGATTCCTTAGTACATTTTTAAGTTGGCATTAGATGAGAGTCGTCAGACGAGTAAGAGATCTAAAAAATAGTGTGATGGCGTAGTAAATTTAAAACAAAATCATGTGGTAAAATAATCATAGGAAAGAAGAGAAATATTATGTCGATGATCCCTTCGAAGCTGTTATTTTTTTAGCGATATCTTCAAATTACTTTTCTCACCTTAGGTGAAGCAAGAAAAATCACTAGTTCACTATTTCAAAATGACAAAACAATTTCCTCTTCGACTTTAATCAATAATAATCATTGTGTGTGTGTGTGTGTATGTTGATGATAATGATGAAGCAGTTGATTACCTATAACACTTCTGAATAATATTTGAAGCCTTATGTTTAATTTCATCGGGTGCTTCTTCTACAGTGCCCAGGTAATAAAGTCTTCTTTCAACAGCTTTATTTTTTAAATCAACCATTAGCCACTGTCTGAAAAATAAACACCAAACAAAAAAATTTACAACTCTTTTTCCAAATCACTGTAATTTCTATAAGTCAAGATCTACAGTAAATGTAATCATGAAAAACCTGAACCCGACAAATTGAAGTCCAAGGGACATACGGTAATTCCGCGTCGAAGAATAGCTTTACTGCCTTTTAAATGATGCTAATATCAGAATACTCAAAGGTTAATACAATTTACACACAGCTTACCTGTATCTTTCATGCCTTTGGATAGTTATCACAAGTGTGGACGGTTCGATCACGGGTTGTATTGGTATTTCTTCAGCTGAAATTGGAACGATATTGTAACCTCTTTTCTTTTTGCCTTCTTAGCAGTTACTTGTGTGTGTTGCACGACATTTTTGGCCATTCCATCTCTTGTATCAGACTTTTACTGACTACACACCACTCCGTTCCTGCTCCAGATCGAGGCCACGATACATTATTGCGCTTGATTCGCAATCCCGGATATACAATTATACATATTATCAAAATGCTTCTGCTTTTATATGAACACACAATCTATCCATTTATAATTTGGTTAACTTCTTTCTTTCAATTAATTTGTATTCAGTTGCACTTATATTGTAAAAATTCAAAAAAATTGTGTTACCAAATAAAATAAATGTTTTTTTCTTTTGTGCTGCCCGTGGACTACTGTAACACCAAAGGAATTACAAGGTCATTGGCGACCATCAATTTGAGGGTTGTTAAGAGATTTGAAAATTGTAATGCAAGGAGGAGAGGTTATTGGGTGTTTATACATAGCCATCTCTAAAAGAAAAGTACTTTTTAAAAGATCCGAATGCTAGGAACGTTGATAGCCAGCCCTTCTGTGCCTAAGTAGTCGCGTTACGACTCAGGAGAAAATCCTATTGTAGGGCAAAGTTTTATAAAAAAATCATAAAAAAAAGTTTTAAGAAAGATTAGCCGCTCACTGCTAACAGATTCCTCAGACTCTTCCTCAGGTTGCGGGCCAGGTTCGAGCTCAGGTGGGATCGCGACATCATCTAGTCCGGACTTCGCTGTCAGACTAACCATAAGTTTTGAAGTCTTTGGCTTGGGCTGTTCGGAAACCAGGAGTTTTTTAGGTAAAATACTCAAAAATTAAGCGTGGGAGAGGTTAGAGTAGTTTACAGTAAGGGTCAAAAGTGGAATTGCACTTTACCTATGCTAAGGTACAATTTCTTTGACTACCTACTCTCGCGAGCTTTCACCCGCTGCTCGGCTCCATTTAATCCTAGCGTGATGGTTTATTGCCTATAGCACTCAGGAACATTGTAGCTATATATCAGCGAAAGAATTTTGGCAATCCGACCAGCGGTTCCAAAGATTACCCCCTACATACAAACTTACAAACTTACAAATTTTACCTCTTTATAATATTAGTATAGATCTATCCTTAACTGAATAATTTGTACCATAGATTCTAAAGTAATTAATAATAGGTTTTGAACTTGTATTACAAAAAGTTTTACACATTTTCACATTTTTAGTAGAGTGCATCTGCACTTTTGACCCAGGACCGTACATTAATCATTAACGCTACTCTGACCCTATGATGGTGTAATAGAGATCCAGAGCTGCGTTCTCTGAAAAACCTGATCTTTTTAAATTTCCATCACATCATCAGCCTGCGACTGCTTAGTGCTGAGCAAAGGCCTCTTCTGACACAGAGAAGGTTTAGGTCTCACCTCACTTGCTCAAGGCGGATTGGCGATTTTAAAATTGTAATTAGAAATTTTAGTATATGTTCAGGTTTTCCTTTACCATATGTCTGTGGTGTCTAAATAAACTTAAAAATTACATATGACTTGTAAAAAGACAAACTGATGGTAGGTAAGCAATAGGCATCGCCCATGGATGACCGTTACACCGCAAAATTCGGGTTACACCATTTCGGGTGGTGATAATGATGATGATGATTCCATAGTAATTGCATTGTGTATACCGGCTCCTGGTCAAGCGAACTCGTGCCTTTCAATTTTCTCTTGACAGCATCTGCCCACATCTTTTGTAGAAATTGTTCTACAGAGTCTTTTCGTGATTCCAGTGGAAAATGGTATGGAACTACTATCTGGGGATGAGAGGAGAAGATTTATTGGATAGAGAAAGAATATTTATGTTGACAGAGACACAGAGACAGAAGTTTTACATGCCTATAAGGTTAATTTGTGTACCTTTTGTGCATCATGTTCAAGATCCTATTGTGCTGATTGTCGTCTATGAAAACAATTCTTAGACGTAACGAATTTATGTTCAGAAGTAGAAGGTACTTATGTCACAATCAATGTAAAAGCTAAAAATCGTAGCGTCAAACAACATTAAATAGGTATCAACATAATAAGTCAATTACATACATATATATTAAACTTTCTCTTCAAACACTATATCTTTTAAAAAAATTGGAACAAAATCCGATGTGTAGTTTTAAAAATATAAGTATGCAAAGGGATATAGGGACAAATATATCAAAAGTACTAAAAGACGGGTATAAAGTATTATTAGGCTTACCTGTATATCATAAGGGGTTAATTGAAGTTGAATTAATGCAGCGTCGACGTAAATATAATCGTTGACTATCAAATGTACTAGCTCATTGCGAAGCTCGTACATTCTGTAAAGAAAGAGTGCCTATTGCAAGTTTTTATTTACGTTATTGCAACCAGAATGTCACCGCATAAAGCCCCCCTGATTGGGTGGTTAACTTGGAGCAAGCCAATGAAAGTCAAATTCAAGTCAAAGTCAAAACTTTTAGTTCAATTAGACCATTAAAAGCACTTTTGAACGTCAAACTACACAATAAAATATAAGAAGTTAAAGAGTGTTATCCGATCAATGTTAAAATCAACCCAGATTGGTTGTTGATAATTCAGTCAACCAATCAGATGACTTGACAAGAGATTACATTGATTTTAACATTGAACGGCCTTCCGGAGTCCGGGTGTAAGTTAGTCTTTGTCAATCAGTTGCATAATCATATTTTGATGATGATGATATTATGATATACCTATATCCAGTAGTAAGAGAGACCTATTTTCAGCTGTGACTGTCTAATGGCTAATATGAAGATGAAAAAAAAAGAGCAAAAAGGCCCAAGTTAATGCTTATGGATAGGCATTCTCCATTGTGAGTCGCACCATCGGTTCGGGCAACATAATGGTCAAGATCGGCCCACTGATCATACTCAACGAGCACATATAAATATTCAAACACAAAACAGACCTTTTCATACAAATATTGATAAGTTCCTGTATGTATGGGGCTCTCTGCAGATGAACATTGTTTAGGTACGCATCGTACATCTGATTGATAAGATAACAGTATCTGCTGTAGTTTCTGCCGAGAATTTCTGGTGTTATTGCGCGTTCTTTGATGCGCACGCCTTTCGCTGTTAAAACCTGAAATGTAAACATAGGATTGATGATGATGTATATAATATAAGTAAATCACTAAACTTGGACCGTTTTAGAACTATATTCCAAGTAATATAAGTGTGGGAGAGCCAAGCTTCGGCACGAATAGGTCGGCTCGACCGGAGTGATACCACGGCCTCACAGAATACCGACGCGCGACGTGAAACAACCACAGTGTTGTGTTTCGCCGTGTGAGTGAGGTTACCGGAAACCCAATCCTTCCCCTCCCCCGATCCCTCCCAATCCTTAAATCTCCAAAACCCTAATCCCTAAAAGGTCGGCAACGCACTCGTTACTCCTCCGTTACGGGTGTCCATGGGCGGCGCTGATTACTTACCATCAGGTAATCCGTATGCTCGTTTGCTGACCTATTCAATAAAAAAAAAATTTATAGTAATGAATATGGTACATATAAAATCCCTCGGGATATAACTAAATGGCTGCTTTATCTATCTTACTGCGACATATATGTATACTAGCTTTTGCCCGCGACTTTTGATATAAAAACTATCCTATGTCCTTTCTCGAGTTCCATACTATGTCTGTACCAAATTTCATACAAATCATTCAGTTTAGGCGTGAAGAAAAGACAGACAGACAGACAGAGTTACTTTCGCATTTATAATAATAGTTTAGATTGCGTCGGGTGTCAAAAAAAGCAATAGTTTATCAGAAACTACAGCCCTGAGAGTCCACTGTGGGATCGTGTGCCTCCTTTTCACAAGAAGGCTTAGCATAATCTCTACGCCTGGTACGCGGATTGGTGACCAAAGTTAGGGTTATATGAGAAACAGAGCGAGAGAAACTAGGAACCCATCTTTGATTCCTCTCACTCTCTAGGAGTCGCTTCGGTCGTCAGGGATCTAGAAACGACCTCTGGGTATTGTAAGATCTGCAGTCAACGAACAAGAGTATGTCCAGGAACAACAATTTGTGGTCATGGTTGGATCAGACTTATGAACTAGGTATAATGGAGAGAGTAGGAGAAAACACTGCTATTCGTTTAGGGTTTAAGCTTTGGAAAGGAGACGAGGCGATAACGTCTCAGAGAACACCGCTGTTCTTTTGAAGATAAGAAGGCTAGTTGGTACTGATAGCACACTAGTTTAGATAGGTACTAAATCTATACCTGTTGCTCCATATCTTCTTCAACTGTACATTCAGCAGCGTGCACGATTTGCATCCATCTTTCATGCACTTTTGTGGTGTTCGACAAACTGCTTGGTAACTTTAGTAGAGACATTTCTGATTGTATTGATAGGTATCGCTGGAAACGTGAAACGGCGTTTAATACAGAGACTGGCTTTTTTTATGTAATAGATCGGCAAACGAGCAGACGGATTACCTGATGGTAAGTAATCAACGCCGCCCATGGACACCCGCAACGGAGGAGTTACGAGTGCGTTGCCGAGCTTTTGGGATTAGGGATTTGGAGATTTAGGGATTGAGGAGGGATTGGGGGTGGGGAAGGATTGGGCCTCCGGTAACCTCACTCACACGGCGAAACACAACGCTGTGGTTGTTTCACGCCGGTTTTCTGTGAGGCCGTGGTATCACTCCGGTCGAGCCGACCCATTCGTGTCGAAGCATGGCTCTCCCACACTTAAGGCTTAATTCGAGGGATACCACGGCCTTCCAATAATGGGCGTAAAACTGTGTTTGTGTGGTGTTTAGCTAAATGATAAGTTACCGGAGGCACAAGCCTCTAAAAGGATCTGGTGTAGTAAGGATTAGTAATCGTCTATGTATCGTGAGGACTGCTTGCCATTAAGTTACTAAGTTTATATAATTTGGTTGGACTTGTCTTGGACTATGAAGCATCAAGCTATAGACAATTCTGGTTATAACACAGAACACTTCTCATCGTATCAAGTGTGGGAGTGCGGGTGTCCATGGGCGGCGCTGATTGCTTACCATCAGGTATTCCGTCTGCTCGTTTGCCGGCCTATACCATATAGGTACTTAAAAATATAGAATCCCCCTAATTTACTTCACCCACCAGCCAATTACCACAACAACCACCAGTGCAATTACAAATAGATCGATAATACTTACGATGCTGAGTTACGACTTACGATGTTATTTAACTAATTAAATTTATTATATCCAATAAAATTTTAAGGAAAACATTTCACTATAATTTGTTTGTACACAAGAATTTAGTTATAAATTACATTAAATTGTTAATCTGAAATTAAATTCACGTAATAATTTAGTTAATCATAATTTACGCATGATAAATTTTGATGTCATATTTTTGACAGAAGATGTTCTAGGATCTTTGGAAAATTCTTTGGAGACTCCTTAAAAAGATTTTAAGTTCAGTTTTTTTCATTAAAGTATTACCTACCTTTAGTAGAATCCATTCCATTTCCAATTCTATTATCTCAAAGAAGAGTGGCTGACTGCCCAAGCAAAATAAAAAGTCTCATATAGTTGTTTGGATACTCAACCTCGCTACATCTACATCCTTGTTGACTGGACATCTACACTACATGAGCTGCTGTTTACATGTGAACATTAGCTCATGACGATACCTTAGTACGCGTGTCGCCTGGACAGTCAACCTCGCTACATCCTTGTTGACTGGACATCTACACTACATGAGCTGCTGTTTACATGTGACCATTAGCTCATGACGATACCTAAGCACGTGTGTCGCCTGGACAGTCAACCTCGCTACATCCTTGTTGACTGGACATCTACACTACATGAGCTGCTGTTTACATGTGAACATTAGCTCATGACGATACCTAAGTACGTGTGTCGCCTGGACAATCAACCTCGCTACATCCTTGTTGACTGGACATCTACACTACATGAGCTGCTGTTTACATGTGAACATTAGCTCATGACGATACCTAAGTACGTGTGTCGCCTGGACAATCAACCTCGCTACATCCTTGTTGACTGGACATCTACACTACATGAGCTGCTGTTTACATGTGAACATTAGCTCATGACGATACCTAAGTACGTGTGTCGCCTGGACAGTCAACCTCGCTACATCCTTGTTGACTGGACATCTACACTACGTACGCTGCTGTTTACATGTGAACATTAGCTCATGACGATACCTAAGTACGTGTGTCGCCTGGACAATCAACCTCGCTACATCCTTGTTGACTGGACATCTACACTACATGAGCTGCTGTTTACATGTGAACATTAGCTCATGACGATACCTAAGTACGTGTGTCGCATGGACAGTCAACCTCGCTACATCCTTATTGACTGGACATCTACACTACATGAGCTGCTGTTTACATGTGAACATTAGCTCATGACGATACCTAAGTACGTGTGTCGCCTGGACAGTCAACCTCGCTACATCCTTGTTGACTGGACATCTACACTACATGAGCTGCTGTTTACATGTGAACATTAGCTCATGACGATACCTAAGTACGTGTGTCGCCTGGACAGTCAACCTCGCTACATCCTTGTTGACTGGACATCTACACTACATGAGCTGCTGTTTACATGTGAACATTAGCTCATGACGATACCTAAGTACGTGTGTCGCCTGGACAGTCAACCTCGCTACATCCTTGTTGACTGGACATCTACACTACGTACGCTGCTGTCTATAAAGGGGGTGTTTTGGCAGAAAATAAAAACACAAAGATGTAATCAACTATTTATTTATACTTAAATTAATATTTTTTACAATAAATCACAATATTTTACTATAATTAAGCCAAACTATTTCACAGTGATCTTATTTAATAATAAAAAACTTATATCATAATTAAATTTCAATGAAAGTAAAAACAATTTTGAGCAATTTATACTTCGTCCGCCATTTTTATACCAATTTGTTGCCTGTTATTGTTTTATGTCATTAAACAATCATTTCAAATGAATTCTTTGGTTTAAAATTGAATGTAAATGGAAGTATTAATTTAATTTTTATCTCAATACATTTATTTAAACCAATGTTTAAAAATAAATATTTTACTGATAGTAGTAAATTTTACTTTAAAATAAAATTATTCGTCAATAAAAAAATAGGCCAATAGATTTATGATGTAACATTAAATTCACAATAATAGAAAACATTGTCAAGCTGAAAACAACCTTGATAATAAAACAATAGGAATAATAATGTAATAAAAATATGAAGTATAATATATTTCTTTTCGTCTTATAAATAAATTTATAATGACATTTCAATAAATTTATATCATAAATATAATTGTGCTGTAAATATAATTTAATAAATAAATATTTTTATAATTTTTTAATTATAATATTGGTGTTCATTTGGAAGCTGTGTAAGCAAGTCTAATACATAAGCAGGACTTTATATTATTATTACTCTATTATATAATAATCTACATGTTAATTATTCAGTTATTTTATAAGCTTAGTCATCCATAAGGAAAAATACAATGCAATACCAGCATTTAAAATAAGACAGTTTTACTAAGCTTATAAATTAAACATAAATACATATAACTATTTTATACAGTTTATTTTCTATAATGAACACAGACATTCGATTTCAAGCTTTATTCCATTTCATTTACGTATTATAATAACTATGCAACAACAACAACGATCAACGTGTTGTAAATTCTCTCAAAATGTTTTATTTATGTTTTTATCATAAATTGCAGAGACATAAATAATTATTATTACAGCTAATTTTTAATATTTATTTTACAATTTTATTTTTATAAAAGCTTTTTCTTTTATTGTATTGTAGGTAACATTATGAACATTGTTTTTATTGAAGCGTATGTATATTTTTTTCTGCAAAGCACGCATATTGAGTTTAACTAAGTTTTCCACCAGATTTGTCCGTACTACTGTTTCTTTTTTTTTCAATACGTAGCATAATAACATTACTATTTAGACTAAATGTATATCAAATAATCTAAATTCTATATTTTTTATTATTACTACAGGCAACCTTTTGCTTAGTTAAGACCATTTTGTTCAACACAATGTAATTTCACCCTAAATATTTTACTCTCTCAGTGGGAGAAAGCAAAGGCTTTAATGTAACAGACATTATTTGACCATTTTTATGTCCCATATAATATAGGGTTTTTCTTTCCACACTGGTACCGAAAACCAATAGTAACAAAAAAATGTCGACCTTAAAAATCCTTAGGGCTGATTTTTCAATGTTTAGATAAATTTTATCTGAGGAATAAAATTGTTGCTGTCACTGTCTTATACAAACATTCTGACGCGACGGCATTATAATAATAATTGATGCCCAGATAACTTTTATCTGACCATTGAAAAATCAGCCCTTAATAAAACTTTGCTCTTTCTTTTTAACGAATCTGAAGATATTTCCATTTTCGACCATGCAATGTATATTTTTTTATTTCTATCATAATATTTATAGTAATACTTCGCTCAGCTTTAATATCGAATCCGATGTATCAATCTCAAATATCCACGTAGGTATTCGACCAATTCGACAGCTATGTAACTTCAAAAAAATTTTATTGAAAAAATATTCTTGTCTAAGATTTTTTTTTTATGTGATAGGTCGGCAAACGAGCAAACGGATTACCTGATGGTAAGCAATCAGCGCCGCCCATGGACACCCGTAACGACGGAGGATTTACGAGTACGTTGCCGACCTTTTGGAGATTAGGGATTTGGTGATTTTAGGAATGGAATCCCTCCTGATTGGGGGAGGGGAGCGATTGTGCCTCCGGTAACCTCACTCACACAGCGAAACACAACGCTGTGGTTTTTTCACGCCGGTTTTCTGTAAGGCCGTGATATTGAAAAAAAATAACGACTCACGTGAATTAACAGCGAAAAGCTCAACTAGTGTTACTAGTTGAGCTTTTCGCAGTCACAACGGGACTCTTATTGAAATATCACTTCTAATGCTTACAAAATAAGTTTTATAATACAAAACTTTACTTACTAGGATTTTTCAACGTGTTTTATAGGTCTTATTTGTTTAAGTTTCGTAGATTGTCCATCGAATTTGATTTCTACATCACAATCGCTTAATGGGTGAGATATAGTCGAAGAAGAATCTTCTTTCTTCTCATCAGGACTTAAAGGTGTGACGAAACCACTATCATTAACTTTCCCATCGTTTATAGGAGTTAAGTTCAAGGACATACTCTTACGACTCTGGAATATGCTCAAGTCGTCGATGTACGATGAAGGGTTCAACTTCTCGTTCAGTTTCTCGTCCAACTTTCTTAAGTTCTCGTCGAAATTGTTCTTCAGTTGGTGTTCGAAAAGCCGTTCTTGACGGATCTGTTCGTGAGTACTCGCGAAGAAACCAGCGTTCTTTTTACCCAGTTCTTTTAATGTGTCCGTTATATTTTCCTGTTTGGTCTCTGCCTTTTCGTCCAGTACTTTTAGTTGGTAGTTCTTCATGTTGGCTATCAGACCGGAGTGGACGGATTGGGACTTTTTCATCGCGAACTGCCTCCGCTCATGTTCTATATCTTTCGGCGAATCTTCGCGAATTTTCGAGAACAAATTCGGTGAACTAAGACCAGTTTTGAAGTTCTTTCTTGGATCCTCTTGTTCGTCGTTCGAGAATTTCGTCGAGAATATTTTGAATGTTAGTTTCTTGCTGTGGTTTTGAACTATTTTCTTTATTTCTAATGGGATTTCTTGTTTGTGGTGGGCGGAGATGTATCTTGAGAGGAGTGTCAGCTGTTGTTCTAAAGCTTTGTTTGTTGCTTCTAGCTTTGATTGGTTCTTTTGGTAGTTTGTTATTGCGTCCATTGCCTCCTGTAAAAACATAAGTATTAATGTACTTATTCATTGTCACCAACAACCTGTAGAGTCCATGATTATGGGTTTAATAAAGGGGGATTTGCCATAACCTCTACTGCGATTCTAAACCAGTCTGCCAAGGCAGAAAAATAATGATGATCATGATGATTTCTATACTAAATACTATTTCATATTCTCCATGTATTTTGAATTAAAAAAAATTGCCATGACTAGACTATACTGCGGGACTATACTGGTGCGGTAGCTAGACAATGCAACATAGATTGGTCAATATTTTTGTTTCGTGTCTGTGAAAACTTTCCTCTCTATTCCTTAAACTGCTAAATAAAACATAAGATTAGAAAGAATAATATATTACTTACATCAAGTTCCTCCCCCATTCTCGCTTTGTCGTCCAGTAATTGTCGGTTTTCTTCAGTAAGTGTTGCAAGTCTTGGCATTTCTTCTCTAAGTACTGCATACTCAACTGCATAGTCGCATAGTTGGCGATGTATGTCCAAGGATATCACCTGGTGGAGGAAAATATGAAGTGTCTATTATAATGTTAGTGTGGGAGATCCATGCTTATTTACGAATGGGTCGGCTTGACCGGAGTGATACCACGGCTTCACACTCAACGGACGTGAAACAACCACAGCGAAGCGTTTCGCCGTGTGAGTGGAGTTAACGGAAGCTCAATACTTCCACTCTACTCCTTTCTTCCCAATCCCAAAATCCTTACGCTGGCAAAGTATTTACAACTCCCTGTGTTTTGCTTACCATCAGGTAACTTGTCCGCTCGTTTGCTGCCGTGTCATAGAAGAAATTGAATGTTCCATTGCGAATAAATAATGATAAACTAGTCTTTACATTAAGTTTTTGGCTGCCGCGTAACGTGTCACGGGTTCGATTTCCGTACGGAACAACTCGTTTGTGTGATTCACAAATTGTTGTTCCGGGTCTGTGTGTCTTGTGTACCTATGTAATGTGGTATGTATGTAAACGTAATTACGACATAGGCGAAAGATTAAAAAAAAATTAGTCACACATACCTTCTTCATAACTTTCTCATACATGGGCTTGCTCATATCTGGCAGTTTATGTTTGAGATACTCTGCAGCTTCCTCGCAGCTCTCGCACATCATCAGCCCGTCCTTGTGCGCTGACAGCAACGCGAGGGACACGGAGAATACCACGTCTAGAGATTCTAGGAATATTAAGTCTGGAACAAAAAATCATGATTGTGTTAATCATTACATAGTATGCTAGCTACTCCTGCGTGGTTTCACTCGCTCCATTTGACAGTAGCGCGATGTTTTATAGCCTATAGCACTCAAGAACATTGTAGCTATCTATCAATGAAGGAATTTTGGCAATCCGACCAGCGGTTCTAAAGATTACCCCCTACATACAAACTTACAACTTTACAAATTTTACGTCTTTAAATATTCGCTTCAGGCTGTCTGTCTCTATGTATGCTTAAATCTTTAAAACTACGTGACAGATTTTGACGCGGTTTTTTGAATCGATAGATGATAGATAGAGATTCAAAACAAACGCACGTTTAGGTGTATAATTTACACTAATCACTAATGCAAATCCAAAAAAAAAGATCTAGAACCTAATCCCCAAAATTAGGTACCCCAATCCTCAAATTGTAATATAATTATTTAAGTGTGGGAGAGCCATGCTTCGGCTTGAATGGGTCGGCTCGACTGGAGTGATATCACGGCCTCACAGAAAACCGGCGTGAAACCACCACAGCGTTGTTTCTTCGTGTGAGGTTATCGGAGGCCCAATCCTTAAATCTCCTAATCCCTAATCCCTAAAAAGTCGGCAACGCACTCGTAACTCCTCTGTTGCGGGTGATTATGGGCGGCGTTGATTGCTTACCATCCGGTAATGCGTCTGCTCTTTTGCCGACATATCACATAAAAAAAATCTCTAAACCCCAAATCGCTAAACATGGAAAGGCTATGAGCGCCACCGATTGCGTAACATCATATGACCTGTCTGCTGCAATAAAAAAAGAAAAACAAAATCAACTCACCGAAAACCCTAACAACGAATCCTAATGGGAACTGGCTGGTGAAGAGCGTCAGCATCCAGGGCGCTGCGTATAATGCGGGGGATATGTCCAAGGCTTCCAGCTTCGCGTGGAGATCTGGTTCATGGTCACGAAGAAGACGGGATAGCTGGTATAGCTGGGAAGAGAATATTTAAGTTAAAATTGTAGTCTTCTCACTTACATGAATTTTTTCGAGGATACTCGACAGGTTTCAGTTCACACGGGGGATCTACATAGCTCATCAAATAACTTTTCGCGTCTAGGGTATGGCGGAAGGTATTGTCTGACTCAGACTGACTAAAAACCCTCCGTTCGTTTTCCTACTCCAGATCGAAGCCACGGTACCTTATTGGGCTTAACCCGCAGCCTCAGCTAAGCATTGGCATGGCTGTGTGGTGGTCTATTGGCTCTTTGAGGCGCGCGCCGAAAACTTTGCGCCTTACGCTTGGGATGGTTCTGGTCAGTCGTGGACCCACGCTTATAGTGACTGGAACTATTTCAATTACCTGTACTTGCAAAGCGCTCATGTCTGGTAGATACTGCTTCCTGAGCCCTCGTCTGAACATCAAGTGGCGCAGTAACACGAATGCCTCAGCCTCCTCCATCTAAAATACAAAATATACTATTATTCATCATTATCATTTATTATTGTTGAGGCTTGGATTAAATTGCAACCGAAAAAAAGAAATAAATTTGGAGTAAGTACTGAAGAAAGACTTTTTTGTGGAGTAAAATAATCTGTTTAATATATTAAGGTTTGCGGACGAAGTTGTGGGCAGAAAGGTAGGACAATAATTTTGCCGTGGCTCGGATGTCAAGGTGTCCTCGTGCAAGAGTGGGCAGGGTCACCTCGGAAATCATCATTTATTTTAAGTTGACCACACCATTTCTTATTGATGATCCCTTTTTTGTGAGGGGAAAATCATCAAATGACGTCTCCCGCCCAGGTCCGGGCAGGAGGGAGTGTCAGACTCTTACTGACTAAAAACTCCCCTGTTTCTTCTCCTGCTCTGGGTCGAGATGCCTCATTGCGCTTACCCCGCAACCCCGGCTGAATATCAGCCCTATAGGGCCCCGTCTGTGGTGATCTATTGGCTCTTTGAGGCGCGCGCGGAACTCTACGCGCCATACGCTCGGGCCTGGTTCTGGTCGGGCGGCGAGCTGATTGATGAGCCCTATGGTTATTGTATTTGCACCCGTAACCGCTGACTGAATAAAAACTCTATGTTGTTTAAGTAATATGTAGTAGTGGAAGAAAGTAATTATTTTTTCCAACTTTATGTATCAAGGATGAGCTATGGCGTACACAAAAAATAACGAAAAATAGATGTAATAAAAAAATCTATCGTTTGGTTTTACGACCATTTTTCTTACACTAAAATAGAAAATAAATAAAAATAAACTTACATGTAACAACAGTACTCCAGCTACAAAACTTAGGCCCTGGCAGTACCCTACATCAGGATCTAACAGGGAGTATGCCTTCAGTATGTTGTAGAGAGCCAGCTGACCAGGCCCCAGAGCTGATGCGAAGTACGAATGCTTAGGGAATGTACGTCCTGAGAAATAAACAGGTTGCATCATAGATATTGATCATTCAATAATCATCCTGGAGTTTCTTGCTCGTTATTCTCAATTCGAATCTACAATTTGGAATAAGCACCAAGCTTCACTGACGAACAGACTGGCAGACTACTATTCTAATTTGACGTTTCAAAAGTACCTATTTATGGTATGGTTGGAATAATTAAGTGTGGGAGAGCTATGCTTCGCCACGAATGGATCGGCTCGACCGGAGTGATACCACGGCCTCATAGAAAAAGAGTTGTGTTTCGCCGTTTGAGTGAGGTTACCGGAGGTTCAATCCTTCAATCCGTTCCCTTTCCCAAAATCTCCAAATCCCTAATCCCCAAAAGGTCGACAACGTACTCGTAACACCGCCGTCGTTGCGGGTGTCCATGGGCGACGCTGATTGCTTACCATCAGGTAATCCGTTTGCTCGTTTGCCGACCTATTACATAAAAAAGAAATATATATTTTGACTTTGACTTTGATATCCTCCCCTATTTTCGTTCCCAATTTCTATATCGATTAAAGGGTGACAACGCACTTACGACTTCTCTGGTATTATGGGTGTTCAAATATGGCGCAAACTGCTTACCATCAGTTGAAAAGTATGTTGATTTGCTACCCTATTTTATGAACATTGTTGATGATCCCATCATTTCTGAAATCTTTTTAAAATTGTAAACCAAAAAGTTGAAAGCGCACTTGCAACTAATCTAGTATTGCAGGTGTCCATGGGTAGAGGCAATCACATGATGCGAATGTCTATTTGCCCTTTTGTGAACCTTTCAAGTAGTCCTCAAAAAATTTTTAACGTTGTAATTAAGTAAAATAAGAAGAAAAACCTGAAACATTGCTATAATTTATAGTGTATATTATGTACAAGTCAAAAAGTCAAGAAAAAACATTTAAGTATTCCAATTAGACTGTTACAGGCAAACAAAATTTTGAAGATATAGTGTCATTATGTCGGTCAATCTTCTTAGTCAAGCTATTTGCTCGTTCCAAAGTGTATATTCCGATGGAAAAGTACGAGCAGGAATCTCCATAGTTACTCTTTTTAAATCAGTTTCACATACACATTCCTTATACAAACAGTTGGTTCAATTATGTGAGAACAGTACGTACCGAGGTCTATAAGTATGGCATGTTGATGCTTGGTGAGTCCTGCAAGAAGCGTGGAGTATGGCGCGTGGTACAGCGGGCAGGCCTTGGTGTCTGGCGGGGCGCTGCGGAGGCAGGCCTGCTCTGCCAGGAAGTACCAGACTCCACCACGGGACATTCGAGGCACTCCTGAATACATAAAAATATATTAAACTGTTGTTTGCTGAATATTACTGTCTCAGATTGTTATACTATTGTTCTATGATTTAAATGAGGCCTTTGATAACTTTGATTCGATATATTTGTACCAACATTGAGTTCAGACATATAATTATAAATGCAAAATATGTATAAATTACTATTTAAGGACCTTTTGATTATAATATGATGAGTAAGAAATAACTTCACTTGAATAATTTACATCGAGCCATAAGAAGTGTTCTACAAGGTACAATTCTGGGACCAATTTTTTTTTAAATATATCTTATTTCAAATATTTACGGGCTTTTAATAACCAATAAGTAGTAGACCAGACCAATTTTGATAAGGCCAAATGAAAAACTTTTTCTACTTTACCTTGAATTACAGCTTGGGTTAACATATGCCGGTCAACCTTCGCCATTGGTTGCGAAGAGTCCCTCGACAGTAGAGAATCCCACATTGAGCTGACCCCTCCATCACAGACACTGAGCTCGTTATATTCCAGCTTTATTCTTCGAACCGCTGATGATTCTTCGCTTTCTAAAGAGATAAATTTAAGAATTAAACTAACTTGTCCTATTCAAAAAATGTCAGACCACAGCTTGGTTAAGTTATAACACTTAATACGTCGTGGTGGCCCGAAGGTGCCAGTTTCGAAACCTGGCAAGTACCTATATGGCATAAGTAAGCGTGGTGATTAATGTTCAAACCTTCTCAGTGTGAGAAGAGGCCTTTACTCAACAGTTGGCACTTATAGGCTGATAATGATGACCTTTCAGGTTGGTTCGGCATTTTTCTATTACAGCTTCTATTAAATCGTTTCTTTATCCATAAAGGTCAAACATGACTATCCAACACTACGTAGGTGGATTATGTGTTAAAGGATTCTTTCTACTGAGCTTACCTTTAAGTCTGGCATTTTCTTTTTCCATTCTAACCAGTAGAATAGTCTGGTCTATCGCCATCTTCCACAGCTGGCGCAGTTCTTCCCTGGTCCTCTTCCCTTTAGGCCCTGACGGTTTCCTAAGAACTGTCAATTCTCCTGAAAGGTAACAAAAAATAATTTTATCTGACAAATATATATTTTTTTAAATATGTATAGCTGTCAACTCGAACTGGACTATGATTGATTATAATATAAAATTAATCGTTAAATGTATTAAACGCTTATCTTGAGAACCAGTTTTGTTAATTATTTTTTTATTGCTATTGTCTGAAAGTCCAATTATACGAACTAATCCATATAGGTACAACATATAGGTACTTTTGAATGGTAAAAAATTCAAACGTAGGTAAGGATAGGTTTTTTCTTCATGGAAATTGACATCAAATTACTTTTCTCGTCCTGGATGGGGTGTTTGTCAGATTCTTACTGATTTAAAACCACCCCGTTCCTTCTCCTGCTCCCTGACCGGCAACCTCGACTTCTGGTAGAGTATGATAGAGTAGACCAGAGAAGGACAGTGTAAGATTACGTCATATAGGCAACCTGAGACGCGGGGATTGTGTCAGGTCTTTGGTCAGGGAATGTTCTTTTTGATGGAATATCAGTGGCGTGAAATGTGTGTGCGTCTTCCAAATAATAGTCACAATGAAATTTTTATACGTAACTAGCAGTCACCCGCGGCTCCGCCTGCGTGGGTGTAGATTTTATTAGATGTTTTTATTTTATTAAATTTTCTCTACGTACAAACTTTCTCTGGACTTCCACGAATAATTCAAGACCAAAATTAGTCAAATCGGTAAAGGCATTGTTGAGTTATAATATTACAACGAAAAGTGACGTTGATTTATATAAATATAGATAGTGTAGTATCTAGCAAGTAACAACTAATACTTTAAATAAAAAAAAACTTTTTGACTAAACTATAATAGAAGTGAATGTTTTCAAAAATGTATTCATACTACCTTCAACTTGTACTTCTGGTTGAACAATCTTCTCGTAGATGGCTTGTCGCCAAGTAGCTTCATTCTCAGTGCCAGCCTCCACTTGTGCGGGGCGATTGTCACTCACTTTAAGGAATCTGTGAAGTTATTTCTTTATTTATTTCTTTATTTATAGAAAAGTTTACAGGCCAATGAAACAGTTTATAGCTTAATGGATTACTTTTGCTAACAACAAGCTTCCATCTTTTGGATTCCAAAGGAAACTCAATAATTGTGTACTCAATAATATAATGCCTATTGACACGTAGGGTTGGGTTGTGGCGGAATGACTTTCAAAAGTCAAGGACAAAGATACATAAAAAAACTTAAACTGATGACACCTGATTGTAGGGACTCGTTGAGTTGCTCCTAATAAGGGTGCAGGCGCTGCGCTCGAGCAGACGATTATAAAAAATACAAACGTTAAATTTATTTTGTACACACCATCACCAAAAAAACCTTAAAAAAACAGTTGGAACAGTTATTTTAATAAATAATTTATAAACGTTAACACTATCGACAGTTTGTGTCAGATCATACTGAACTGATTTTCATAAAACTTGTTATTACAAATTACGATTATTTTTACAAGGAACTATCGTTATGTTTCGCCGTGTGGCTGTTGTTAGTTTGTTACCGAAGACCCAAACTTTCTCCCCGTCCCCCAATCCCTAAATCTCCAAAACCCTATTTTGTAATATGGTATCTTTTTGTGAGGGGAAAATCATGAAATGACTCAGGAGGGACAGACAGACTCTTACTGCCTAAAATCCCCCGAGTTCCTTTTCCTGGTCTGGGCCGAGGCCGCGGTGACTCATTGCGCTTATCCCGCGACCCCGGCTGGCAATAATGGTCTCTACTTACATATCCATCATAGGAGAGTTGACAGGAGTTGAATCTCCAGCTGTCTCCTCGCTCTCTTCTGGAGTGGGAGTCATGTTGGATCGCGGAGACGGAGTGTATTCTGCAATTTAAATATTATTTAATTTTTTATTAATTTTAGCCTAGTAATGTTGGAAGAACAGTTAATTATAATTTCGAATGATATTTCTTCTTCTTTATTTCCAGGACAATTTTTGTGTGAAGGTTTAATTGTGTTTTTTTTAAATTAATATCTTACTCAGGCGACTTTATAATAGTAGAGCTTTTCTTAATTAGAACACGTAATTAAGTCGTTATTTTTCATGAAAGTATGTCTCATAATAGTTACAATCCAAACATGACAAAAATTTATTTGCTCTGAATCAGCCTATAAGTTACGTCGAGTTTCGAACTAGTCTTAAATTTCGTGATGAACAAATCAAATTACTTTCACAGACTCACTATTCGATGGCATTGCTTTTTATTCATACAGGCTTAGAATACTGACTTGCTAGAAGACCAATGCTATCAATCTCTCTGGAAAAAGACCAACAGAAGAAGACCAGATATTTAATTTGAGCTTACCATCAATAACAGCTGGAGACAAACTCTTGCTTCTGACAACTTCTGGTGAGAGTAAGTCCTGGTTGTGTTCTGATCCCGAGTCCAAAACTATTGGTACTGGAGTGGGAAGTGGTGAGGTGTCCTAGAAGAATAAAGGCGAATATGGAAGAGCCAAGCTTCGGGTTGATCGGAGTGATACTAAGGCCTCACAGAAAACTGGCGTAAGTTAAAGCTAGTGTTGATGGCGTCAATTTTGCTAAGTGATTGAGGTTATCGGAGATTCGGAGATGTAATTCTTCTTTCCAACCCTAATCGCCATTGCCCAGAAAGCCTTCGTGAATCATGATAGGTTAGCGAAGGCCAAATTGTCGCAAATGGCTGACAACGCACTTGTAAGTTATCTAGTTGTTACGGGTCCATGGTCTGAGTGGATTGCTTACCATCAGGCAATGCAACTACCAATTTAAATAGCTATAGTAAATGAAAATAATTTTATTTCTTGAATTGTCAAATAATTATTTTCGATGTTAAATAGATTTTTACCTTTTTAATAACTGGCGGAGTTCCATCATCTCTGCTGGCTTTCCGTTTGAGGAGATCAAAACTGCTTGAAATAGAACGCCTGGCTTTCGAAAAGATAGTGCTGCCACCTAAGTACTGGTTTAGGAATTCTGATCTGGAAAATGAGTAAGACTAAAAATCCATTTTATACTCATCGTAGATCGAGTAAATTTTGGGCAGACAACATAATCATAATAAGTATTCAATTTGAATAATTCCCAAGATGCCAATAAATGAAACCTCAATACGCCTTTTTTGAGAATAAAGCATTCGATCAGGACCATATCTGGCCCGGGGTATGGCGAGAGAAAGTGTCAGTCAGGGAGCTGACCACACCTTTCCTTTTCCTGTCCTGGTCCAAGCCAGTGCCGTAGCACACTATAGCTCTTGCACTCGCAACCCTGGCTTAACCGGCAATGCACCTGTGACTCCTGGTGCTGCAGGTGTCCATGGGCGGCGCTGATCATCATCATCAGCCTATAAGTGCCCACTGCTGAGCAAAGGCCTCTTCTCATATGGAGAAGGTTAGAGCATTAATCACCACGCTTGCTCAATGCGGGTTGGCGATTTCATACTTATTAAGAAATTATTTAATCCAAGTTTCCTCACGATGTTTACCTTCACCGTATGTCAGCGGTGTATAACTCTGAAAAAGTCACATTGGTACTTGCAAGGTTTCGAACCCAAGGCCTCATGCATGAGAAGCAGGTTCCTTAACCTCCGGGCTACCACGACATTCTGATCTGCTGATCACTTACCATCAGGTAATCAGTCTGCTCGTTTGCTTCCTACATATTCCATTGTAATAGGTATAAGTAATAGGTATAAGATAACAATAGTTCTAAGAATAATATATATTAATATTGTAACATGATCCTAATATGATATAGTTCTATATTTGGTAATTGAGGTTGTAATAGTATCTAAGTATAAACAATTGAACCTGAAGCCTAACCTACATACCGTAGGGGGCAACAACCTATGACATCATCCCTGTAAACCCTAATCACTATAAAAGGGGTCCATTAATAAAAATAAAGTTAGTCTTATAACCAACTTCTTGTGTTTAATTACTTCCTCGCGTACCGCTATCACATGGCGACCCTGCCAGTGCGGCTCACTTTAGGTTCGGGTTACAATTACTAATATGGATAGGCGCCGGTAACGATCCATATTTAGATGAGTGTCTTTTAACATTAAAACAATAACAGTGTTCATCTCTAAGATGGGAAAACAATACAGTACTCCTAGACCTCCGGCTGCCCTTGCAAGTCATAGTGATATTTATAATCAATTCGGGAAGACGAACTCTATCGAGCAAAATACGTCGATCACCCAGGGAATCGCAAATATAAATTTCTATTTGAGTATATTCGTATTGACAATAGTTCTGATAGTTGCTTTCGTACTTATACGATACTGCATTTTATCTGTCAATAAGAAGATTGAAAGAAGAGCGCGCAGCCAAGTTATAGACTTGAGCAAAGCTGGTGTTTAAACAAAAACAGAAGTATGGAACAGCATATGAAGGAGATAGCTCAGTACATGGAAATATTCAGTCAAATTAATGATTTAAGGTGCCAAGGTATACGAATAGGGAAAAAACAGGGAAGAACTATTGTCGAAGCATTTATAGAAGGCAGGAAAGGACATTATCTATTATGCCCAGAACGGATAAATAGCCGGTCATTCTGCTTGATTTCTAACTCACTGGATGTCGAGTTGCATGATGGGACAACTGCAGTAGCCCAGCTGACATTGCAATACGAAGGAAGACTATCCTGGATTTGGAAGATTGAGTGGGAACGTGATTCTACGTACAATGAGTGGTAGTGAGTGGTAGTGTGTAGTGTTGTGAACCTGTGAGCAACGCGACGATATCAGGACAATAAGAGAACGTTACTATGTAAGTACGTAGTCTAATGATTAGTTTCTTATCCTTTTTGTGTATTCATAATATTAAGTGAAATAAAATGTGTTAGTTAAATGGCAGATGAAATCAAATCACTTATTGCTAAGTTAAAAGAAGTTAGAACTTATTTAATAAAGTTAGGTCCGAAAAGACGGAAAGGCGAAATTTTACTTAAAAAAGCAGATGAAAGTTATGTGCTATTTTCAACTTTTTCTTCTGTCCTAGCGATCATTAGTGACCAAGTAAAACTAGGTAAATCGGACAAGGACACAGAGAAAAATATCAACGAATTAAGTAAAGAATTTTTAAAGTTGTATGAAGAAGTCAAAAAATTGTGTGAGGTTGTAGAAATGGAAACTTTTAGCTTAAAGACAGCATTAGGCTTATTGCCGTTAATGACAGATGATGAAACAGTAACCCAACAATTAATTGATAACATAGAATATTATGGTTCTACTTTATCTGAAGCTGCTTGTAAAGTAAAACTAATAAATTTTGTATTAAAGAGTAGGCTGTCTCAAGCAGGTAAATTAAAATTAAATGAATCGTATTCAACTATAGGCGAACTGATTCAGGATATGAAATGTAAATTACTTGCGCAAAAATCTGCAAATTCAATTCAAACAAAATTACAACAATTAAGGCAAAATGATAAAACGATAAATGACTATGGCCAGGAATTATCGCAATTATTTGTTGATCTTACGATATCTCAATCAAAGGGCGATGCCAACAGTTATAAAGTGTTAAAACCTTTAAATGAAAAAATGGCTATAAAAAGATTCGCGGATGGACTACGGAATCGTAGACTAAGCACCATTATTGCATCTAGGAACTTCGATTCGCTAAAGGATGCCGTGCAAGCCGCGTTGGATGAAGAAATAACAACAGCAACTACCGATATAATTGGTACGTATAATTCCTATAAACCTCGATTTAGATACCAAGGTGGCTACCAACCCAGAGGACACCTTAGAGGACGTTACGGAAGAGGATATAAACCAAATTATCAGGATAATCGTTATAGGTCACAGGGATATTCCCAACAATACCATAACGGCGACAGGAAAACATTCTATAGAGGAGGTATGGTTACAAGAGGAGTTAGTCAGCAGAAAAGAAACCATTCAGGTGGGTACCACAATCACCAAAGGGGATTCTACAGAAGACCACAAAAACATGGTGTTCACATGCTAGCAGAGGAACAAGAAACTGAACAAAATAATCCCTGCGAAGATAGAGGACTAAGCGAAAATCAGTTTTTTCGGGACTAATCATATATTAATTGGGGGTAATTCAATCATAATTAAACTAAAAACAAATAACCAAGACTGGTCATGGTTAATTGACACAGGTGCAACTATTTCAGCTGTAAAATACAGTTATATTAGAGAAAGAAATATTCCAATAACGAAAGCTAGAATGAATATTAAAGGCATTGGAGGTAGTTTAGAGTCTATTGGATTTACTAAGTTGAAAATTCTAATAGGAAATGAATTAATAGAGCAAGTAGTGTATGTGTTCAGTTCACTACCATGCCCTACGGCTGGAATTTTAGGTCATAATTTTTTAAATAAACATAAAGCACAAATAAATTATAGAAACAAATCTATAACCCTGTCAATAAATCAAAATAAGACAATAACCTTACAATATGGTAATACATTGGTACAAACATGTTACAATTTTAAAAAACGATCAGAATCAATTAATTACATTCAAACTGATCGAGTAAATGACTGTGTCATATGTGCAGAAGAAATAACCAAAGGAGTATTCATAGCAAGCACTATTGTAAAACCTATAAATGGTAGGATACCAGTTCAAGTTTTAAACACAAACGAAGAAGACATAACAATAAGTGGACTAAAGCCGAAATTGCGTGATCTTGATGAATATGACTATTGTTACTTTGGTGAAAGTATTAAAAATGCAGAAAGAGTAAAGAATTTATTAGGACAGCTTAATTTAAAACATTTGACGTTAGAAGAACAAGTAGAGATTGAAAAGATTTGTGCGAGATATGCTGATATATTCCAACTGCCAGGGGATAAATTATCAGTAACTAAATTATATAAACATAATATTCAGCTAAAACCAAATGTAGATCCAGTTTTTGTTAAAAATTACAGGATACCACATTCGCAGAAAAAAGAAATTGATAAACAAATAGACCAAATGTTGAAGGATGGAATAATAGAACCAACACAAAGTGTATGGTCTAGTCCAATTTTATTAGTGCCCAAAAAATCAATCGTATCAGGGGAGAAAAAATGGAGACTTGTAATTGATTATAGAAAACTTAACGAACGAATTAAAGATGACACATTTCCCCTTCCAAATATAACAGAGATATTAGATTCATTGTCAGGTTCAGTATATTTCAGTCATTTAGATTTATTTTCCGGTTATTATCAACAAGAATTAGAACCAGATTCCAGAAAATATACAGCTTTTAATTCTGGACAATACCAAATGACACGTATGCCAATGGGGCTAAAGACGAGTCCAAGTGCATTTAGCAGAATGATAACGTTGGCAATGTCTGGTCTAACATATGAAAAATGTTTTGTCTATTTAGATGACATAGTAATTTTTGGAAGAAGCTTGGAAATTCATAATAAAAACCTTTTAAATGTTTTTGAGAGATTACAACAGGTAAATCTTAAACTAAACCCATTAAAGTGTGAATTCCTTAAGAAAGAAGTGTTGTATTTAGGCCACGTAGTTTCAGCAGACGGAATTTTACCTGATCCAGAAAAAATTAAATCAATAAAAGAATACCCAACTCCATCAAACGAAAAAGAAGTAAAAAGTTTTGTAGCCCTTGCAAACTATTATAGAAAATTTATACCAAATTTTGCAGAAAAGGCATTTCATTTAAACAAATTAGGGAAAAAAGATGTTAAATTTAAATGGGATGATAATTGCCAGCGGTCATTCCAAGAATTGAAAAATGCTATAATAACACCGCCCGTATTGCAATATCCTGACTTTAGCAAAGAAAATGAATTTATTTTGCATACAGATGCCTCAGGCTACGCGATAGGTGCCGTTCTATCTAACAGTAATGGGAAGCCTGTAGCTTATGCAAGCAGAAGTCTAAATAAAGCAGAGAGTAACTACGCCACTATAGAAAAGGAACTATTGGCAATCGTTTGGGCAACAAAACATTTTCGTCCATATTTATATGGTAGACATTTTAAAATAAAAACAGATCACAAGCCGTTGATATATCTATTTAACATGAAGGATCCATCAAGTCGACTACTTAAGTTTAGATTAGCATTAGAAGAATATCACTTTACAGTCGAATACATTAAGGGTAAAGAAAACACTGCAGCTGACGCCTTATCTCGAATTAAAATAACATCTAAAGAGTTAAAAGAAATGAATGAATGTTTATATGTCATTACCAGAAAAATGGCTAATCGACAAATGACAAGTAACAATGATAATGAACTAATTAATAGTGATTCTACTGACAAAGGGACTGATCAACCTAGAGTGGTAGAACTCACAACAATACCAAAAGAAGGAGTAGAATTGCAATTCATTAAAGGAAATGAGCTCAATAAAGTAAATATAAATGACAAAACTAATATAAAAGAGTCAAAAACATTAATATATTTAAAGAAAGAAAAAACGTTATATATAAAACTAGTATCACCATCGCAAATGACGCGACGCGCCTTTGTGCGTGAACTAGGTATAAAATGCAAAGAATGGAATATAAATAAGATAACAGTGAGGAAAAATAAAAATAATAATGTATTTGTAAAAACCCTTGCAAATGAAATACAAAAAACAAAAGAAGGGAGTATTCCAAGTTTGTGTATAATAAATGATGTAATAAAAATAACTAATAAAGATGAAAAAAAAGTGATATTAAATGATTTTCATATATTGCCTACAAGTGGCCATGCTGGGGAACGGAAAATGTATAACAATATAAAAAGAAGATATTTTTGGTCAGGTTTAGAAGAAGATATAAAGAATTATGTACAAAAGTGTGAGAAATGTCAGAAAGAAAAATATTCAAGATATACTAAGGAACCAATGACAATAACAACAACAGCTACAGAGGCATTTCAAAAAATATTTATGGACGTCGTTGGACCATTAGAAAGAGATGAAGAAAATTTTTCATACATACTTACTATACAATGTGAATTAACAAAATATATTGAAGCTTATCCTATGAAAACAAAAAGTACCAAAGAGGTTGCAGAAAAGTTTGTTAATAACTTCATTCTTCGGTTTGGGATACCTGAAATCATTGCTACAGATAGAGGAACAGAATTTATATCTACAACATTCCAAGAGGTATGTAACTTACTGCATATAAATAAACTTACATCCACAGCTTATCATCATCAAAGTATTGGCGCACTGGAAAACAGCCACAAAAGCCTAGGTACTTATTTACGTATTCAAACTGATAATCATAGTGGACATTGGAGTAAATGGATAGCGTATTGGTGCTTTGCATATAATACGTCTGTCCATACAGAAACTAAATTTACACCATTCGAATTAGTATTCGGAAAACAAGCCAACTTGCCAAGTAATTTAACAATTCATCCAGAACCAATTTACAATCATGAAAGTTACCCTTTGGAATTGAAGTATAGACTTCAGTTGTCACAAACAGAAGCAAGAGAAAACTTAATAAAAAGTAAAATGATTAGAAAAATAAAATATGATAAGAATTGTAATCCGGTAGTGTATAAACCTAATGATAAAGTATTAATTAAGAATGAAAATAGGAATAAATTGACCAGCATATATTCAGGTCCTTATATAGTTGTAAGAGATATATCCCCAAATGTAGAAATCTTAGATAATGGAAAAATAAAATTAATACATAAAAATAGAACAAAACTGTTCAAAAATTAAAAAAAAAAAAAAAAAAAAAAAAAAAAAAAAAAAAAACCTAATAATATTTTTTTTTTTTCTATGAAAGGGGAAGGTGTAATAGGTATAAGTAATAGGTATAAGATAACAATAGTTCTAAGAATAATATATATTAATATTGTAACATGATCCTAATATGATATAGTTCTATATTTGGTAATTGAGGTTGTAATAGTATCTAAGTATAAACAATTGAACCTGAAGCCTAACCTACATACCGTAGGGGGCAACAACCTATGACATCATCCCTGTAAACCCTAATCACTATAAAAGGGGTCCATTAATAAAAATAAAGTTAGTCTTATAACCAACTTCTTGTGTTTAATTACTTCCTCGCGTACCGCTATCACACCATAAATAAAAACCCTAAGCTTACCTATTCTCAGCGGTGTCGTGAACATGCCGTGTCTGCTTCGCTTCGCAGTGAGCGCGTAACAACATCATAAGGAAAGCGTTGTGCTCGCCCGTCTGAAAAAAGAGGAGAACATGGTTCATTGTTGAAAAGTTATGTATAACTAGCTACTCTTACGCGGATTCACCCGCTGCTCCACCGAGGGCCGGGCACGCTACCATAGCAGCGGTAAGACCCCTCTTTGAGGAGTGGCTTGAGAGACGCCACGGCGTCCTCACCTTCCGTCTGACGCAGGTGCTTACCGGGCACGGCAGCTTCGGTAGGTTCCTGTTTCGGATTCAGCGGGAGGAAACGCCCGAGTGTCGTCATTGTGAGGACCACCTAGAGGATACGGTGGAGCATACGGTAGCGGTATGCCCTGCCTGGGCTGAGCACCGCCGTATCCTCAGGGAAGTGATCGGCGGCGGCGACCTCTCGCGCCCGGCCTTAGTCGAGGCCATGGTGCGGAGTGAGAGGAACTGGGACGCCGTCTCCTCCTTTTGTGAAGCAGTCATGCTCGCAAAGAGAGAGGCGGCCCGCGTGAGGGAGCAATCCTCCTCCTCACGCCCCAGCAGCCGCAACTGGCGACACTACGGGCGTCGGGGATCGAGGGACGATCTCCGGCCACCGTAAGTACGGGCCTGCGGTCGGCGAGTAAGGGCAGCTCGCCGCCCGACCAGAACCAGGCCCGAGCGTACGGCGCGTAGCGTTCCGCGCGCGCCTCAAAGAGCCAATAGACCACCACAGACGGGGCCCTAAAGGGCTGATGTTCAGCCGGGGTTGCGGGGTAAGCGCAATGAGGTACCGCGACCTCGGCACAGAGCAGAAGAAGGAACAGGGGGGTTTTTAGTCAGTAAGAGTCTGACACTCCTCCTGCCCGGCCCTGGGCGGGAGAAGTCATTTGATGATTTTCCCCTCACAAGAAAAAAAAAAAAAACCCGCTGCTCCATTGATCGTAGCGTGATGTTCTATAGCCTATAGCATTCAGGAACATTGTAGCTATCTACTAGTGAAATAATTTTGGCAATCCGACCAGCGGTTCCAAAGATTACCCCCTACATACAAACTTACAAATTTTACCTCTTTATAATATTAGTATAGAGGAGAAATGGTTGTATCATCTCTTTTGCTCTTAATCTCTCTCAATTTACAAGATAAAGTCAAATCATGGACTTCAAATAGACCACAACAGGCACTTTTGAACGTCAAACACAATTTTTTTATAAATATCAAAAGGTTCAACTTTATGCGTGTCAATCTGTCCGTCTGTCCTCTAGTGAAGCTATTTGCTCGTTCCAAAATGTGGATTCCAATGGAGGAGGACGAGCAAGAAACTCCATAGTTACTCTTTTTCAATCAGATTCTTCAGTTTCTGTTGTTTTTGCTGCTTCTTGACGCGAATCGTGATTAACTCACCTCATACATATGATTGGTACCGCCCTGGTATTTGGTGATGATGAGATCCTGTTCATCTTCAGGCAGCTGTTCTATGCGGCGGAGGATGAAGGCATGGGTCTTTTTGTCGTTCATACCTGGACATGTAATTATTATGGATTCATTCTTCAAGATATTAGAAACAAGTGCGGGGCAGCCATGCTTCAGTACGAATGGGTCGGCTCGACTGGAGTGATACCACGTCCTCACAGAACACTACCGTGAAACAACCACAGCGTTGTGTTTCGCCGTGTGAGTGAGGTTACCGGAGGCCCAATCCCTTTTCAATCCCTAAATCTCCAGATTCCCAATCCCTAAAAGGTCGGCAATGCACTCGTAACTCCTCCGTTGCGGGTGTCCATATGCGGCGCCTGATTGCTTGTCATCAGGTAACCCGTATGCTCGTTTGCCATCCTATTACAAAAAAAACTTTGGACCACGAATGGATCAATTCGGAGTGATGCCAACGGCCTTACAGAAACTAACGTGAAATAACGACTACGTAGTACATGAACGAGGTTACTGTAGGCCTAATCCTTTCCCCCGTCGCCAAGTACGATAGCGCAGTTGCAACCCCCTATTTTTGCTTGTTGCTTACCATCGGTTGTTTTTTTATGGTAACCAATCGGCGCCCCATTTTGGGTTTTAAGAATTGGGGGTTTTGAGATCGGATATGGAGGAGATTGGGTTTTCGGTAACCTAAATCACATGGTGGAACGTAACTATACGAAGTAAAGCCATGATATGATTTTGGTCGAGCCAGTTCATTCGTGTCGAAGTATGGCTATCGTAATAGATGTACGGGGTTGGAAACCGCGAAACGGCCAGGAAATATTCTTGACTTTTATTATATTATACAGCTTTTGAAATCAAATGAAAAAACCAAAATCGTAGCAGTTCACGTCTCGTCTTCCATCGTATCGCTTTCATTCGTTCTCTTTCTCGCTCTCTCGTTCATCATCTCACTCGCGCCGTTCGCATACACGTCTTAACACTTTCATTCAATCTATCACACGTTCGAATACATTCCATTCCCACATAGATTAATGATAAATCGACACTTACCCTCAATATCATGGCACAGTCGATGGTACCACAACATGGGACAATGCTCACAAGTCATGTTCGGTGACTTTTCTCGAGACTTCTTCAGAAGGTCGGCGTGGGCGACGAACGCTTGCTTGATAGCTGTAAGAATATTTCTATTGTTAGTGAAATTACTTAGTCCATGTGTAAAAAAAAAAATTACACTGTTTCTCCAACGATTTTTTTAGTTACTTTTTATCTGTTCACTTTGTTTTAGATCGAGATTTCTGTAAAAGTGGATAAAATTATGGACATTCAAAATCTTAAAATCCTGTATCGACAAGTGGGATTCCCGACCCAGGGTTCATAGTCGTGACCTTGATTAAAGATCTCTTCTCACATGGAAAAGGTTTGAGCATTAATCACATCGCTTGCTCGTGGCGTGTTGGCGATTTGAAACTGATAGTTAGAAATAATAACTTCAGGTTTCTTCACGATACTGTCTTGAACCGTAGATATAAATAAACTCAGAAATCGTCACATTGGTACTCTGGATTGAGAAACGGGCACCTTAACACTTCGGGTCACCATGGACTTTAAACATTAATAAGGTTTAAAATACTTATTCGATCGAGATTACGATAGAATAAAGGATTCAATTCTTGACCACCCACTATCCCCATTTTGAAGAAGCATCATCCACTTACCATTTATTAACTCCAGCGCCACCGAATCACTCTCACACTTGAATACATAGCAAGCGTAAGTATCATTCGTTTCTCGACACACAAAACCAAAATGCTCTTTATTCAGTCTCCCTAAAACGCAGGAGGCGACATCTTTGAAAGCTCGGTGTAACAAAATTTGTTTTCGATCTGGACTTATTAGGCGGAGCTCTGATCTGCCAACCTGAAAAAATGGATTTTAAAAGCTGATTATTTTTATGGAATGGGCAACAAACGCTGAGCTGATCACCAGAGGACAAGATGATATCACTGGATTTCCATATCAGGGGTCAAAGTTGCCTGGGGTTTGTGACTCGCACAGTGAAAATTGTGTTCTTTGTTATTTAACTCAATTTTCTATTTTTATTAATTTTGTATGTCTAACGATACCTACTATACAAGAGTTTACCTACTAAAAGTTTTATTGTTTACATATTTGTATTTTGCCAGAATACATTAGGTAATGTATACACCCCCATACAACTGAGAGAAAAAAATTCTACCTGAAACAGCATAGTCCTGTTCTGTTCTCCAATCAAATGAGCAATAGGCGTTTTCTGATTGATCGTCCCAATAGAAGCCGACCGATCTCTCAAAAATGGCTTATTTTCATTCAAAGTTTTTCTTTCAACCGTAACAGGCTTTCTGCTTATCTCCTGAAAATTCATAGGCGCTGGACTATCTTCTCTACCTTTCTGGCTTAAATCTGACTTTGCTGCAACCGTATTTGGACTTTTTGCATCCATTTTCGAATCTTCCATTTTGGATTTTTCGCAAAATTGCGTTATCGAGGATGCCGTTTCGGAAATGACAGAGAAAATATCGGATTTGTCCTCTTCTTTTACTGTGTCCAAATTGTTTTTAGGAGCGTTTAAGATCAAAACATTTGGTTCTAAAGGTGTAGGTTTTTTCATATGTGTATCTTTTGTATTTTCAACGCGTTCTTTAGTAAACATGTCGAATTCTTCATCGATTTTCTTAGGGTCTTGTTTTGCGTTTAACGTTTCTGCGCTCGCCCAAGCTTTGTCAGGTTCTAAAGGGGTTGTGCTAGGTGTTAGAATTTTCCTATTATTTTTAAATATGTCTTTTGGTGGTGAGTTGTCATCTTCGAGATTTTCTTTCGAGTCGCCACTGCTGTATAAGGAGGTCTGTAACAAAAGTTGTCAGCATTGTACTCAGCTGACAAGGATGGGAACGAATATGGATGGTTTGGGCTTAATGACTTGAAAATATAATTTCTGAAGAATGAACCAAATTTCTTAATCAAAATAGAATCAGTGAAGTGGATCTCTAAGTCCCAAAAAGGTTTTATGTAAGTAAAACAAGGAAAATATATAATGTGCATATGCAGGAACTTACTCCAGTCGAAGATAGTAAGCTGTGTCGACGTTGTTTCAATGCTTTCTCAGCTTCGTGCTGAGCGAACTTTATAAGGGCATCGTCGATCAGAGACTCTGGAACCTTTCGCTGCGATATCCTCACCTTTCCGATATATGCAACCTGAAATGTAAGGTAAGGAATCGAGATAAGAGTAATTATTGAATGAATGTGTTTTGGTGGCGAAATTGTATTGGACAGCACAAACAATATCGTACATATATTTTGAGTTGTTGTTTTAACCAAAAGTTCTCAATCTTAAGGATTTTTTTTGCACAAAATACATTTTAATTTCGATCTCAGAATATTCTAGAATTATTCTTTGGTTTTTCTATTAGTTACTACGTTTATGTATTGTTACTTGTAGAAATTTTCTTTTATAGCATAAATTAAGGGTTATTCGGTTATTTCTAAATGTGTGATGTTGATCAATGCCATACCTCAAAGAAGTGAGAGTCGGAGGCTGAGAGATCAGCGCAGAGCGAGGTGAGAGCGGACGCATTGCTGATTGTGCGACCCATTGGATTCTGATTTTCACTCGTCCTGCAAATAAAATAGTTCAACATTAAGATAAGAGATAGCAGATTGATGGCTTCGAATTCTAAGCGTAAAGTCTTACAAAAAGAGCATGACTGAAGTTTATGAATGACAACAATACACTTAATTAATAATAATGCACGCAACAAAAGCAAAGAATAATTTTGTAGATCGTAACCGTTTAAATGCTACTAGCTAGCTTCAACCTCTGCTCGGCTCCATTTGACCGTAGAGTGATGTTAATATTCTTAAAGCACTGAGGAACATTGTAGCTATTCATCAGTGAAAGAATTTTGGCAATCCGACCCGCGGTTCCAAAGATCACCCCCTACATAAAAACTTACAAATTTTACCTCTTTATAATATTAGTATAGAAGTTGAGTATGTATACACAGATTCTAGTCTCATCATTAGTTTAATGGGATAGATCGGATCGGAAGCAGTCGAATGGTTATTCGACTGCTTCCGATGGTAAGCAATTTATTATAACCACTTGAGGATTGTGGGTTTAGAGATAAAGGGAATGGAATATTTTAATTCCCGTAACCTCAATGGGTGACATGCAATGTAAGAGTTGTTTTACGACGGTTTTCTGTGAATGATTTCTTGGACTGGTGAACTAAAATTAAGTCCACTAAAGACCGTGATTTTGTAAAATGAAACATAGTTACTTACAAATTAGAGTTACAGTTCCCAGGCAAAGAAATAGCAGGGCTGCTCCAAGGAAGATGTTCAGAGCTGTTCTGTTGTTGGAAGCCAATGTTCTTGGTGACAGCGCCATTGGAGAGGGAGGTATTGGAGCCTCTGGGGCTGGCTGTACCTGGTGACGGCTCCCGCATTTGTGTAAAGAGTTCTGTCACCTGAAATGATAAGAAGGCTGTTTAGTAAATGATAGGGAGTCGTTTCTTCAGGGAGAATTTTTCATCATCATCATGATCATTAATTAGGTTACAGTCAGATAAAAAAGAAAATGCTTGTTAGTATTTTACTTGGTATGCAAGTAAGAGAAACTGTTGTTGTACTAAGTATGTTTTTTTTTGAATTATCAAGAGATTTTTTGAAGGCTCCTTATCCAATCAATGATGTGCTGCCGTCTCAAAGAGTGAGTGATCACAAAAGATGGGGACCCAACAGGGAAATTGATCAGCCAGGGTTGTGGGTCCAAGAGTATACCGCGGCCTTGGCCTGGAGCAGCACAAGTAACGGGCAAATTTTAAGTCAGAAAGAGTCTGACTCTTCTTCTCGCCCTAAGCGCGAGAAATCATTTGGTGATTTTTCCCCCACAAAAAAAAAGCCAAACGATGATTTTTGTTCCTGAATAGAATCTTTATTGTTCCTCTAATATACCAAATATCTTCTAAGTAGATTTTAAGATAAGCCTTATACTTGGGTAGCCGTCACATAATTTGTTTACCGAAATGACCTTGATTAATTATCATTATCATCATAATAACAAGATTAACTACTACGTAACGTTATTCTACAAAGGTACAGAGTCAACGGTCAAATGTACGATTATCATCAATTAAAAGATTACGTCCAATTAAGCGTTCATAGTTTTGGCACGCAGTTCTAAACGTAGATACATTGTTTTCTGGCTTAATCTGGGATAAGCTGTAGCTATCCTTACCTATAATTATAATTAAATCTGTAGTTTCAGCAATAATGTATAGAATGTGATGTGTCAGTGATGAATCACGAATGAGTCGGCTTTATCGGTGTGATACCACGTCCTCATAGAAAACCGACTTGAGACAACATATTTCATCGTGTGAGTGAGGTCAGTGGTGACCCAATCTTTCTTTCATTTCCCCAATCCCTTAAACTCCGAAACCCTAATTGACTTGTAACACTACCGGCGCGTTGCAGGCAAAAAAAAGTTTCGTGTCCAAGCATAACATTTATTACCTAATTAACATTTACACATGACCGAATTAAGATTTCAGGGAGGCGTTGGATACACCCAGAACTGAGGGTACCAGCAAAACAATGATCCCCGGCTCCGCTTGCGCTTGACCCGCAACCCCGGCAAGCCGGTACTTATAAAGTACAATATCTTTTCGTTCGACTAATAAACTAAAAGGACAATGAAATACATTGAAGATTGAATATAACAAAACATTGTCCTCAAATACACTTGTAAACAAATATATCAAGTTCACGTGTCTCAGTGCACGTATGTATTATGTGCCTGTTTGTTTATAGCCTCGGTGTAGGGTCAAGGCTACAATTGGTTACATGAGCAGTTAATGTAAACACGCTGTTACTTCCTTCACGCGTTGTTCATCAAGTTTTATGGTAATGAGGGCTAGGGCTGTCTAACAGTCCAGATTATTTTTTTATCGGAGTAAAACATCTAATGACTTCTTTCACCTCTGGTCGGGATGAGAGAGATTGATTGACTGATTTTGAAGCGTATAGGACCCTCAATAATCTTGAGCATGACTGGCGCGGACTGCGTTCGCCCTCTTTTTATATATGGAAATCCCAATAATATAACATGTTCTTTGTAGTAAAATTTTAATACCGATTAATCTATAAAAAAAATTTAACGAAACCAAGCCATTTATTTGAACAAAATAGCGTGTTGGTAAATATTTTTTTACAGCTTAACTATTTGTCATAACAAAATCAAATTTACTCACATTGTAGTACACCAATTTACAGTAAACATATATTTTACGGCTTAAAAGGAGCGTAGTCCCTTAATGATTAAGAGTCACCCCGTTCTTTACCTGCTCTAGGCCGAGGCCTTATTGCCTTTGCCCCGCAACCGTCTAATCGGCTAGTTTGAGAATTAGGTATTGGAGATTGGAGATGGGAACACGGGAGGTATTGGGCCTCTGGTAACCTCGCCATTTTATGTTCCCGTGAACTCGGGTCGGATATGTCTTATAAAGATGTATAAAAAAAGTAGCCGGGGTTGCGGGGCAAGCGCAATAAGGTACCGTAACCTCACCCATAGCGCCGATACACCAGGCACCGCAGGCTCCGTCTCCGCCCTCTGGACGCCGAAACCAGAGAGGCGGAGCTATACGAGGAGTACAGGGCGGCGAAGGCCACCCTCAGGGTGGAGATCCGGCGGGCCAAAGATCGGGCCCGCGAGGAGATGTTGGAGACTCTGAACAGAGACCCGTGGGGACGCCCCTACCGGATGGTGCGTGATAAGCTCCGCACCTGGGCGCCCCCACTGACTCAGAGTCTCCGGCCGGAGGTCGTGGACGAAGTGGTTGGGGCGCTATTCCCCCGACCACAGATGGGTTACACGCCTCCGGCTATGCCCCCGCCCCCTGCGGTGCCCAATGCGGGCTACATCGACGACGACGACGACGAATCCGCTCCGGAAGTGACCGAGGTAGATTTGAGAGTGGCGGTGCGCCGGCTGAGCGGCAAGAATACCGCCCCAGGACCTGACGGGCTGCATGCCAAGGTCTGGGTCCTGGCCTCGGAGGCTCTCAGGCCTCGACTACTTGGTCTGTTCAGCGCATGTTTGGAGAGAGGCCAGTTTCCGCTGATGTGGAAGACGGGTAAACTGGTCCTCGTGAAGAAGCCGGGGCGTCCTGCGGACTCTCCGTCCGCGTACCGGCCCATTGTGCTGCTCGACGAGGTGGGAAAGCTGTTCGAGAGGATAATCTCAGACCGCCTCGTCGGGCACCTGTCTGGAAGGGGGCCGGATTTAGCGGACGGCCAGTTCGGCTTCCGCAGAGGGCGCTCCACGGTGGACGCCATCATGCGCGTGAGGGACCTCACGACGGGGACAGCGTTGGCCGGGAGGCGAGTCGTCGTGGCGGTGTCTCTGGACATCGCCAACGCCTTTAACTCGCTGCCCTGGAGCTGCATTTTGGAGGCACTCCGGTACCACCGGGTGCCTGCCTATCTCCGTCGTGTAGTCGAGGCTTACTTGACGGACAGATGTGTCATCTACCCCGGTCACCGGGGCGTGTGGAATCGGCGAGAGGTGTCGCGCGGTGTCCCACAGGGATCGGTCCTGGGACCTCTCCTGTGGAACATCGGGTACGATTGGGTGCTACGCACCGACCTCCCGAGCGGCGTCAGCATTGTCTGCTATGCTGACGACACGCTGGTGCTGGCGAACGGGAGGTCGCATCAGGCGGCGGCCGACCTGATGTCACAAGCGGTTGCGACAGTCGTTGCAAGGATCCGGCAGTTGGGACTCGAGGTGGCGCTCCACAAGTCCGAGGCCATGTGCTTCTATGGCCGTCGGAGCGCGCCACCTCCAGGTGGGTCCCAAGTAACGGCAGGAGGAGTTACCATCGGCGTCGAGTCGGCGATGAAGTACCTGGGTCTCGTCCTCGACAGCCGATGGAACTTCACGGAGCATTTTCGTCGTTTGGCCCCTAAGTTGGAACGGTCTGGGGCCGCGCTCAAGCGGCTCCTTCCCAACCTCGGGGGGCCAAACGCCTCCTGCCGGAGGTTGTATATGGGGATTGTGCGATCCATGGCCCTCTACGGTGCCCCTGTGTGGGCGCCGGACTTGAGGCGGCGGCCGGCTCGTACGCTGGTCGCGTCCCAGAGGGTCATGGCTATACGAGTAATCCGCGGGTATCGCACGATCTCCGGGGAGGCGGCGAACCTCCTTGCCGGATCACCGCCGTGGGATCTAGAAGCGAAGGCGCTCGCGCGCGTCTACAGTTTGCGCGCAGACGCGCGTCGCCGGGGCGAAGATCCTCTGCCGCGCCAAATAAGTGCGTGGCGGAATGAGCTCCGGCGAGATCTCATGGCAGAGTGGAGACAACGACTGTCGCAACCGAGGGCCGGGCACGCTACCATAGCAGCGGTAAGACCCCTCTTTGAGGAGTGGCTTGAGAGACGCCACGGCGTCCTCACCTTCCGTCTGACGCAGGTGCTTACCGGGCACGGCAGCTTCGGTAGGTTCCTGTTTCGGATTCAGCGGGAGGAAACGCCCGAGTGTCGTCATTGTGAGGACCACCTAGAGGATACGGTGGAGCATACGGTAGCGGTATGCCCTGCCTGGGCTGAGCACCGCCGTATCCTCAGGGAAGTGATCGGCGGCGGCGACCTCTCGCGCCCGGCCTTAGTCGAGGCCATGGTGCGGAGTGAGAGGAACTGGGACGCCGTCTCCTCCTTTTGTGAAGCAGTCATGCTCGCAAAGAGAGAGGCGGCCCGCGTGAGGGAGCAATCCTCCTCCTCACGCCCCAGCAGCCGCAACTGGCGACACTACGGGCGTCGGGGATCGAGGGACGATCTCCGGCCACCGTAAGTACGGGCCTGCGGTCGGCGAGTAAGGGCAGCTCGCCGCCCGACCAGAACCAGGCCCGAGCGTACGGCGCGTAGCGTTCCGCGCGCGCCTCAAAGAGCCAATAGACCACCACAGACGGGGCCCTAAAGGGCTGATGTTCAGCCGGGGTTGCGGGGTAAGCGCAATAAGGTACCGCGACCTCGGCACAGAGCAGGAGAAGGAACAGGGGGGTTTTTAGTCAGTAAGAGTCTGACACTCCCTCCTGCCCGGCCCTGGGCGGGAGAAGTCATTTGATGATTTTCCCCTCACAAAAAAAAAAAAAAAAAAAAAAAACCTCCCCCATAGCAGGAGAAGGGAACGAGGATCACCAGTGTAAATGTAATAATATACAGCGGCTCCTAGCTGGCAGGAGAAGAAACGGAGTGGTTTTTAGTCAATAAGAGTCTGACACTCTTTTAGAAGTAATTTTATGAAGGTCCCTTCTGAAAAAACGCTGTTTATCCAGTGAATTTTTTGGAACAACTGTTTGTAAGGTTTTATTAATTTGTAACTAAACTTTTAAAACAACTCTATCTGATAAGCGTCGGTAGTATTGGTGTTTGGAATGCAAAGTACCTATAAGTATATTTGTAAAGTTTT